CATTGCTTTGTGTGGTGTAGATTTAATATTGTTAAAGACAGCAGATCACATTTCTTCCAGTCCTTAAGGCATTTCCCACCAGGCTGGGAAACCAGTGTGGAGCTGGTACTTGCTATAGCTGCTGTGAGTGGTTATGATGATAATCTCATGGACGAGTGTCAATAGACATAGACTCACAAACAAAATTATTATACAGTCTGCAAAACCCCCTTTCTAACCACGTTACAAATGCCTACTTTTGATCATGGAGTTTTCAAGTACAATCAATGTCAAAAGACCTTGATTACTTCAACAAAACCACCTCAATTACCAATGGCTGGGGGCGGGAAATTGAGACCAATTTCAGAAACCACTGTTTTCCCCTCTTGCTTATATAAAACTCACTCTTTTTAAGGGCAACTTTTAAAGGCTTTATATCCTTCTAACCCATAGGGCATCATTATAATAATGAGTAAGAGTTAGAAAACTCAGAGTTAACTGACTTTTCTTCACCAAAAAGGATACTGTATTCAACAGTTAGGGGAACATGACTATCAGAAATATTTATAAAGCATATAGCTATTACTTTGAAAATACAGGTATTTTCTTTATTTTGTGATACCTTTCAACATATTCCTCATTGAAGTATAACCTATAGGACTCCCAAAAAGAAAACCTTTGCATGTGGGAATCACATTAGTCCTGTGAAAGGGAACAACCTGGGCTTCTATTTGGACTGTTGTTCATTTTCATATCACATGACCTTATATTCTCATCCCTTCATCTACACAGTGGACAGCACTCATAGCTTCATAACTTCAAAGGCATATTGAGTGATCCTTGACAGTCTCTGAGTATTTTAAAAATAAGGTAAAAAATTTCTATTGTCTGGGACTCACCTCACCCTACAGCTAGAGTTTGTGACTGAAATCATAGGGAATAATGTTTGCAATGGTGACCTCTGGTGGTGATTTTTATTCTACTCTTTTTTTGTTTGCTTACATGTCCTAATCACTTTCATAGTAACAAACACACACAAAAAAATGTTTAAGTCAGTATAAATACCAAATAGAACCTTTCAACTTTAACTTTACACATGAAACTGGACCTATCAAAACTACTGAGATTTGCTCCTTATCCTTTAGTCACACATTTAGTTAAATGTACTTTTATTATCTCTTAACTCTAATCACTAAAAAACTCTAATCATTATTAAGCATCTTCCATAATCATTTAAAATAAGTTAATTCATATATCTTTACCTATCCACAGATAGATTATTATTAGTGAAATGTGTTTTTTATTTTTCCCTCCTATTCATTTCTAAAATATTTTAGCATAAAATTGTGCTTGCTGTTAAAATCTGGTGACTACAAAACCAATGGTTTTATTTTCTTTGCTCATGCCTTTTGTAAAATGCAGCCCTAATTATCATATTTCTTCTATCTGTGAGTCATTATTCTAGTCTATGTCACATCCTTTGCAGAATATGAAACATGGCGTGAAGTCCAAAGCTTCACTGTCTCTATCAAATGATGACTGGTAACCCCAGTGGAAGCTATATTAGAACATTTTCTCTCAGCACACTTGGAAGTTGGTTCTTCTTAGATTAGAGAAATAGACTAGCATCAATCTAGATAAATGTGATCTTTAAAAAAACATGACCTCTGGGTACTAATTTCTAACGTTTGAGTAATTTGGGATGCCACTAACCCTCTGTACTAAATCTCAGGGCTACAAAGATACAGAGTTCCTAGAGGTGAATAAAGGTGTGCTGTGGACAGGAATTAATATTTGTGCTACGTTCTCAGGTTATGTGGTTGTAGCACTTTCTAGATTGTTTTAATGTGTTTGACAATTTAAGAATTATAGTTTGCATCCCCATAGCCATGTCATTTCTCAACCAGTGCATGCTTTGATTCTATCTAGGGACACTAATCAACCCAAGCATATACACAGACCAGTGAGCTTCTACTATTTCCTATTGTTTGGTTCTTTCTTCTCCATCTATGTCATATCCCAGATTCAGCTTACCTTTCTCATTACTCCAATCACTACCTTCACTGCTAAATCTCAAGTTGTAACTTTAGGTAGAGTTAACAGTAGGAAGGCAATTTCTTTCCCACTGTTTGGATGGTGGTGAGGAGCATTTTCCCCCATGATTGCAATCTGCAGAGTAGATATCCAAAGCTTGTTCAGAAAAATCTACTGACTGAATTAAAATGTTCAAACATAAAGATTAGGCCAAACTATCAAAGGAAATAAGCGATTAAACCAAAAAAGAGAAAGCATTGATTACCTCCACTTGTGCATTCCATGATACCTTATACAGTTTTCTAATATTGCATCAGTCAAATTATATTGCATTTTCTATTTTATATGTATTGCTCATGTGTTAGATTATCAGCTCATCCTGAAGAATGAATATATCTTATTTATCTTATATCCCTGGTGCTTAGGCCAGGGCCTGGTGTACACACACATACACACCTAAATGAGTGAAAAAATGAGAAATGCAATGTAAGGTCTATGACTCCTCCATAAATTCTATTAAATATTAGTAGATTCACAGGCTCTCTGAAGCACAGAGTCTTCGCTATTGAAGGTCTTTAGGTGCAACCTCACCCAACAAAGGACCTCTTTCTAACCTGTGATTTAAGATGATAGGAAACTTACTGTCTTCTGAGGCTGTTTGTTCATTCTTTGACCATTTTAAATTGTTAGAAAGTTGTTACTTTTATTGACATATCTGTCTTCCTTTCACATTCTAGTTGTGTCCTTCAGGCTTTCAGTGAATAAATATAATCTTTCAAAATATTATCTGTAGTTTATTTGAGAGCTTTGTCTAGGACATATTTGATTTCATACTGAATTTGTTACCAGTCTTATGTCATTTCATTTACAAATCATAATAAATCATTATCAGAAACCCAACTGAAATTGTTCAGTACAGCAACATCAAAGAGATGGCTGCTTTTTTAGGATTTACCCATGTTGAATCAAGAAGGGAGAAAAGAACTGCGAGTTGTTTAGTGCCAGCAATGTGTCAGCTAGTTTCCACACACTTCTTACTTCATCTAATTTAACTTATCTCATCAAATTATGCTGCAAACAGTATCATTATTCTCCTTTTATAGATAGGCTAACTGGTATTGTTAAAGGAGAAAAGTATACGTAGTTCAATAACATAATAATCTGTATGTGATTTTAGATAACATTGACTGGAAGATTGTCATAAATTAATACATGGATTTTTAAAAATCCATTATTGGCAGAGAAATTTACTTCCTCTAGGCAGGCACCATGGATTTTAGAATGAAAGAAATCTTGGCTCTTATTCCTGGCTCTGCCTCTTTCTAGCTGAATCATAGAGCAAGTCATGTAACTTCTCTGGGATAGAGTATCCAAATATGTGAAATGATAATTATCGTTCAGACTCGGGAAGGTTGAAGTGTGGAAAAAATGAGATCATGTATGGGAAGGTTGAGTACAATGCCCAAAACATGACAGTGGTGATAATGATGAAGAGACATTTAGATCCAGTTCAAAAGACTCATAAGATTTCAGAGCTGGGAGGTGCTTTAGCAATATATACACAGACCCTGAGGGGACATGGGTTTTATTTAATGTCATAGAGCAAGTCAGCATTGCCTGCCAGTTCCCTAGGACTGTGCTACTCCCTGCAGTCCACAGAGTCCCCACACTTGACACCTCTTTCTACAGGTTGGGACAGAAATCGGCAAGCAAGGCAGCCCCTGCAGTCAGCATGTCCTCCAGCCTGTGAGAGAGGTCCAGTAGAGAGAGAAAGCACAGCCTGGTTATCCCCAATGTGCTCTTTCTCTACTGTACTCTTTGTATTTAATGGCTAAAGACAGTCACATGAAAGATAAATTTTCATTTCTGTGTGGTCCATCTGTTCCCATTACTCACCTGCAGTGAAAGTTGCCTATTCATAAATGCATCTCAATTTCTAATGAACAATCAAATAAAAAGCTACTATTATCAAGGCTGCCTCATAGGTGATCAAAGCCACAAAGCAGGGCTCCTCCTGGGGCAACAAGCTCATGGCTTCCCAGCATCACGACCATGCTCCTAATACTGAGGCAGGTAAGAAGAGCCTGTCAGAGCCACTTCCCCAGGACCTGGGTCCCTCAAGCAGACAGATGTGTTGAGCTGGAAGAGAAGTTTCGAAAAGCTTGCTCAACCCCAGCCTGAGGCAGAGCAAACAGGGCTGGGAGCACTGAGTCCAGAGATACTATAATAGCTTCAGGGCTGAGGCCCTAGGTACAGGATTTTAGCTTCACCTTCTTTCTCACCCCTGCTCCAGTTAGTTTAGTTGTGTGTTTTAGTACACTTGTAAAGTTATTTTTCTTTTATCTTTTCCCTCTTACCTATGAGCTACTGTGATACCAAATTGAAAAGTCAGGCACCTGAATAATTCTGACTGAGTGAAGAAGACATATGGTTGTCAGGAAAATGCTGAATCTTGTATTTTTAGTAACTCCCACTTTTCTTGATACTACTATCCAATTTGTGCATTCTACATAGCAGTGATGGGTGGGAATCATGCCTGAAGTACTGTGAATTTTCTGAAGGAAATAACATTTCCCCCATAAGGTTTATTTTAGACTATTAGAAAAGAATTAAGTTCTTGCATCTGTGGACTTCAATAGGGAAATATATGAGCCTAGAAATGTTGGGGACCACCATGTGGAATCAAAGAATGAAGGCTACCCAATTGAAGGCAGAGCCCAGAAATGAAGAAAAACTGAACTCTGATAAAACCAACTGAAAAACTAGATTAAGCAATGAGTGAAGCTATAAATATTCCTTTTTGCCAGTGTCTGCATTTTGTTATTCTTTTGTAAAAAGAACTAACTTATCAATTTAATTCAATAATCTTCCTTAATAAAGACTTTGGTAAGACAGATTCAGTGCAAAGATATGTGAATTTGCTAGCACAAAATATTGAAATAAAGCCTCACATATTATTTCATAACATAATACGATGATTTCTTTTGGCAAGTACCAAACAAGAAGAAAGCTATTAGGAACAAGTTATTTTAATGATGTATTCCCTCAAATGTATTGAGCAGTACAATAAATTGTCACCCATTTACTACCTTGATTAAACATTTTGAAAGTCCAGTTCCCACTTTGTAGCAATGTCCTCTTTTCTTTCCTAGACAATGAGCACCTTCCCTGGGTTCCTTTCAATGCAAAGGGTCAGTTTGACTGGTGTTCCTGCATGAGAAAAAGTAAAGAGCATGCTCAATGCTGCAGGCTCATGTGCTCCTCAATTATAGCCATCGCCAACATCTGTGGCTGTTAGTTTTAGGAGCTACAGTGACTGAGGACTCACTAAATTTATGGCCTAGAGAGAGAGTTTCTCTAGATGCTAGAGAAAGAGAATGATCCTTCATCCTCAGTGTGATGCTCCAATATTGTCACTCCATGTCAACATGGGCATGACCCAGTGCCAAAAGGTTCTAGAAATCTTGCTAACCGTTCTTTGGGGTGTGGCCAAAGTACCGGGGTGACTTGGATTGCATAGAATTTGGCTATGGGTCCCATTTTGTATCAAGAAGTAAACCTTCCCTAGGAATATGGAGAGAAGGAGGGGGTGCTCTTATGCAGGAGCACCTTTATTGGGTTCAAAAGGTCATTCTGGTTCCTCTCACTGAATGTTATAATTCCCTGGCCTCAAGGTGGTGTAAGCATATGGATGGAGGAAGGTTCGGAGATGATGGGCAGTCAAAATAACTCTCTTTCCAGTAGCTCCCAGTTGACCACCACACATCTTAATTTCAGTCTGATTCTATGTTTCTCCAAGACATCATGTTTTCTAAATAATTTGGGTTTTCCTGTAACACCCAGAGCAGGTTATATTTTCAATGGAGATCATTTCTCTATTCCACTATACACTGGATCCTCCCAGCATTAGTCCCTGCATCCTGCACTTGTTTTTTCCTTCATCACAAACTGTTCTTTCCTGTTTTAGAACAGCATTAGCATCCAGTGTATGCATGAAAGAGTACCTAACCCACTTTCTATCTGTGGTATCTATGGAAATAATGCATCTGCCAAATACTCTGAGATATTAATAAAAATCCAAAAGTTTTATCTGTAAGCTACCCTAGGCATGATATTTACCATCAAGTAGGGATTCACACTTTCACAGACAATGCAGTCCTTCCACATTGTCGGAGGAGGGCTGGCCTCACTCCAAATCACTCTGACTCCATGTAAGAAGCACTGAGACCTGAAGGGCCAAGTTGCACTACCTTGATCAGAAGAGTGAAACCTCCATGCTCTTGAGTGAGGACACCCTTCTCCTCACCTAGATTTTCTGGGCCCAGATGAAATGCTTCTGATGTGTCGCACATGATTGCAAAGTCTCAGCCAGGGGTTTCTCGTTCCAAAATTTGGAAGCAATGTGGGAATGTCGATCTGGAAGCCAGGTAGTAACCAGCCATTTTAGATGTCACACCAGCATAGACCAACCCATACTAACGGCTCTGTAAGGTGTCAGGAAAATGAAAAAAAAGACACTTCGCTGGGAACAGACACAAGAAGTTAAGAAAGAAAAATGAGAGTTCATCTGAAAATCTGAGAAGAACTGACCATCACTCTCCACCTAGTAGCTTCAGCAGCTCCACAGAAATAACAGAATGACAAGAGTAGACCAACAGGTGACATTGAGGGGGACAGAGTGACACCCTCAAAGCAGCCGACCTCAGTCTGACAGCCTCCTGTGCCCTCAGGATTCTGACTACGTGTCCCGGGGACTGTGTCAACCTAAAGAATTGGGATTTGAAGCTTTTCAATCACATCAAAATGTTGAATCTCCAGCAGCTGTTGAGTGGATGACAGAGAAAGCGAGAGAGTGTTTTATTTATTTGTTTTGGTTTTAGTTTGGGGTTTTTTGTTTGTGTTCAGTGAAACTGTCAATTCTGAGAGAAACTGTGAGGGAAGCAGAATCTGCTCATCCAGATGGAAGGTTGGACACCCGCCTGCCAGAGGGGCTGTGGGAGTAAGAACACGAGAAAGAAACAGGAGGGAGCCCAGGGAACTGGTGGGAGGGGAGGAGGAGGCTACATGAGCAAGGAGGACAAGCTTGAATCAGGGGTGAAAATAGAAATGGAGGGGGCCCGGGCATTCTGACAAAGGCACCAGGTGAGACCTGCATTTGACTTGCAGCCAAAAGGGAGGGACTCTGGTGACCCATCATTGAGGGAAGGAAGCTACACTTGAAATTAGAAGTGGAAAGAAGAGCAGTTTTTTGCATAGTTTCTGAATGGTAGAAATTAACATAGTTGAAAAGGACACTTTTTGTCTTATAATTGTGTGTTCTGTTTTTAAACTTCTGAGGTATGACATCATTTTTAGCAATGTTGTAAACCTTATTGACTACACTCAGACTTAATAGGGTTTTCTGGAGACTGTTACTTCATATGTGAAAGTCAGACTTTTGTATTCAGACTCTGCCTGCTGTAGTGTACAAACTGATAAGAGGAAAGGAGGTAAAAACACAGTTTTGTGGATATATATTAAATTTAAAACATTTAATTTTTGTTGTTGTTGTTAATCTTCACCAGAGGATTTTCCCCCATAGATTTATAGAAAGTGGAAGGAAGGGAGAAAGAGAGACAGACAGAAACACTGACAGAGAGAGACATGTTGATTGGTTGCCTCCCACAAATGGCTCTAGGGGTCCAGGGATCCAACCTGCAACCAAGGTAAATGCCCTTGACTGGAATTGAACCCATGACCCTTCAGTCTGAGGGCTGATACTTTAACCCCTGAGCAAAACCTGCCAGGGCTAAAACATCTGATTTTTAACATTTGGATGTGAATATTAAGATAGAGACAAAAGCTACAGGTGAAATAAATGTTAAATACAAAAGACTAAAAATCTTCCATCACAACAATAATTGCCTAAGTCACTTTTAAAGAATTAAAATGTTATTACTTAGGATTTTCTGAGGTAGGTGGTAAAAAGATCGCCTAGTGTGGATGTGAGCATAGAGCATTCTGGTCTGACTGGCAATAAGATGTGTTAAAAACAAAGGCTGAGTGAGTTATGAGCTTCAGTAACTAAAACTGTTGAAAGTTTTTTTTTAAATAAGATTTAGATGAAATGTTATTATCTACACTAATCAAGAGTAAGATGCAAATTGTCCATACCTTCACAATGCCCACCACCAAATCATGGCAATGATGCAGGTGTTCCGTACCACTCCAGCTGCTCCGGGCATCTGGGCAGCTTGGGAAGGCAGAAAGGCAGCTCCTGACCGGAGCAAAGGCAGTGCCAGCAGCCAGGGAAGGAAGGCCCATTCTTACATGAATCTTCGTGCATCTGGCCTCTAGTATAACTCATAATGAAGAAAAAAACTTTTTTTTTCTCAAAATGCCTAATTTTAGTTTTCAAGGAATATGCTAAAAATAGACAAAGGATTTTTTTAGCAATTCCCCAAACAATATATACTAGAATAATGTAAATCCTGTAATAAGCAAAGAACATCAGTTCTCAAATTGCAGGAAAAGATGAATTCTTTTTAAAATTGTTGTTAGCAGGTGTAATGAAGAAAATAAGTTTGAACAATTAGAAACTAATGAAGACTGTATAAAAATTGTTATTTACAAAGAATAACTGAGAAAATTGAGGGGGGAAATGGACATATATTAAGTAATAGATCTAATTTGTGGTTAACACTGGTATAGGATATTAAGGAAATTAGTCAAGAAACTTAACTTAAAATGGTATTTCAAAACTCTTATAGGGGATCAGATACTGGCAGCATGGTGTCCAGCTTCAAGAAAAGATCAGAAAGAATGAACTCAGAAATTGCCAGGGGCAATATTTTCATGAATTATATTAATCATTAATAAAATCATAAGGTTAGAATGCAGTATATGATAAAAATATCATTGCAACAGAATCATAATAATCATGCGCATATAATTGTTTAAAAAACATACAATGTAAAAAAAATCATTAATTTTTCCCCCTTAATACAACTAACGTGCAGAGAGAAGGAAAATAAAGTTTACATTGACTAAGAACATATATAGTTCTATAAATTTGGAATATAAAAAAATCAAACATTCACTTGAAAAATTACTTTGAATTGATTTGTTTAGAAGTTTAGCTTTGTACACTGAAACCTGCCCTTGGCAAGGAAAGACTGATCATTATCTTCACATAAAAGAAATCCCTAGTGAAGAGTCAGAATAGTTATTGGAGTCTAATTTCCATTAGTCTGTACCATATAGTAATGATGTCAAGACCCAATATTGTGACATTTGGTTAAATCTCAATAGTAAAAGTAATCTGAGGATTTAAACTTTCATTGCATTGGGAATTTGTGGTTAATACTGGTATTGGTTAAAAAAAAAAAAAAAAAGAAGAAAGAAAGAGAAAGAAAAAAGAGTGTATCTAAAAACTCAAAGCCAGGAGAGAAAATAAATAGCTTTAAGTGGAAAAAATTAGAGACAAGTATTTGAGAGGAAACAAAGTCTTTAATGAAGATAAATGTGTGGATAAAAAGCAAGTAATCAGTGGAAGAAAGATATTCCCCAGCCAGTGGCCGTCCTGATGAATTATTCACTAGAACCATGCCCAGGGCCTGTCCTCTCCTCAACTCTGCAATTACTGGCAAAGGCAAAGGCTGTGTCCAGACTTGACTTCATGCACCCAGTGCCCAGCCTTGAGAGGAGTCAGACTGTGGCAGGTTTGGGGAAATTACCTCCATATTGTTGAAATAGACAGTAACCTACATAAAAACCTGGGTAAGATGCTTCGATATTTGATGTTCTATCTAGAGACTCTTCATACCATGTTTCCTTTTTCTTCTCATATTCTGATAAGAGAAGAGAGAAAGAAAGAATACTTGATACATTTTGTTTGATTCTAAAGACAATATTTGTCATTCAGAAGAGGAGCTTGGGAGAGCAAAAGTTGTATATCTACAGTGTAAGTGTTGCATCGTCTATTACTTCAGCATTTATGCATTTGCATTTAAAACTCAGAGCATATATACTGTGAGTCAGAATCAATTTTGCTTTAAATCATTTGGGTAGGTCCAGAGCCAAGGCACACTGGAAGCCAAGGTACCTGTTAAGGGAGATGATAAATTGAGTCCTTAAGTCCTTGGCAGAGGAGCTGACTTGGAGATAAGAGATAAGAAAATTAGTTTGCAATAGAATCTCTAATGATTACTTGGGATGAAAATCAGAAGGTCTTCTGCAGTCTTTATTGCATTTTTTATTACCTTGGCAACTTATTTGGCATATCAGCATCTTTGCAACTTTTCCCCCTCAGTCCCTTCAGTGGCATCTTTTGCTTGAGTGAGCAGTAAATAACAAGGAGAACTAAAGACAATTAACTATTATCGTAGCCCTATGACTAATGAAAATCCGTACATTGGACTTTGGGGGGAAATGTACTTATTAGCATGCCTGTGGGGGGTAGGTTAATGTTGCTATTTAAACTTTGCTTGGGAGAAACTGAAGTAGAATAACTTAACCAAGGTTATACAGCTACCTATGGCAGCCAGAATTACACAGATTTCCTCCCAGCAATGGCCCTAAGCTGCCTTGAGAAAAAAGTCCAGAGTACCTACAGCATCCTCTTGCCATACCTCAGACTCTACACAGAGGATTCATCTCTGCATAGTGAAGTGGCTTAGATGACTAACTAAAAATGTATGTATAAACTAACACATCCTAATACTCCCAAGTCTTTTCACATGCATTCAAAATTTACATAATCATTAATTTTTGAGGATTTTTTAGCCCAACTCAAATTTCCAGACTTCCCAAAAAAATAAAGTTTCAGTGGTGTTGTAGCAATCGGCAGGGTTGGAGTGCAAGTCTATTCTCCATCACATCACACTTAAATTCAAATTTCCTTGAGCACTTTCTGGTAGTTCAATGTGGCCATAGCATAAATCTTGGCAGATACTGTAATATTACACAGGGAGTAGATGCTAAGGCTTTCTGATTTTTATCCTGTAGTTAATGGTTAGATACTGGGAAATTCTGAACACAAGTGTGACTTGATTAGATTTTCTTGGCTGGTTCTGGCAATAATCTAGAGGACAGAGTAGAGGAGAAACTGGGGCAAGAGTTAGGAAATAGTCCTATTCTGTGAAAGAGATGATGAGAACTTGAACTAGGTTATTGGCCATGGGTATGGAGAGATGAGGACAAATTGTCAGAGATATCAGTATCCAGAGGACAGACAGGAAGACATGAGTGACTGGCTATAAGAGACAGGAGAATAGGGAAGTCCAGGATGACTTCTAGGCTTTCTGGCTTGAAGAATGGGGTGAATGATGGTGCCCCTGGAATCCCAGGGGGCAAATGAAATGGGGGCTGGTTGGGGTGCAGCAGATACAGGGATGAAAATGTCTTTACTTTGAAATATGCTGAGTTTGAAATACCTTCAAACATTCTCAAAGACTAAGACGTTTGCTATACAGGTCTAGACCTCAAGGCAAAATCAGTACTAACATAAAGATTTGGTAATCATGATGTAGGTGACTTTCATGCATGTTGATTGGCCTGGATTTTTCACCCAGCTGGTATTTACTCTAAAATAAAGGTTATAATCCTTGTAATTGAAAAACTGAAGACAGTTTTTCTTTTTGTCTTCATTATTAATATGTATTTTATTTAACCATGAAGAAATATGATGAATTTAGGAGCAATGTGCAGTCAAATATCAAGCTGTCTAATAAGCTTTGGTACACTTTTATAAATCCATAATAATAGGGAGTATTACTCATGGATGTTTCTCCTTTCTCTTCTTTGTTTCTAGTTTCCCTGCGTATTTTTTGACATTTTCCCTCTGCTTCATGGGAGTCATTAAGATAATGCATAATATTAAAGAATTAAAATGGTCATGATGATGATGATTAGACTTTTAAAATGTTAATCACTTAACAAAATATATCCACATGGTAAGTACTCAATCATTTTTTTTCTATTCACCTCAGTGGACCACATGCTTACAACTTCAGCATCATAAAAACTAGAACAGTACTAATAACCAAGTTACCATTTGGAAAAAAACAACTCTAAATATTCCAACTCACTTTGCATTGATTTGGCCTTGACAGCATTTTTAAGAATTTCCTTCTGGTCCTTTTATTTCTGCTCAAAACACTGAGAAGACTTGGATGCAATAACCAAGGCTTTTTATTCTTAATTATAGATCTATTTGTTCAGAAATATGTCTACTGAAATAAACCCAATGTTTTGAAAAATAATATTTAAAAGCAAGACATTTAGTTGAATTCTGATATATCTATTTCAGCTTAGCCCAAAAGTATTTCTTTAAAATAAGCAAGTTGTCATTTGTCTAGAATATATATACACACTGAAAGGAAATCATTGTTTGGCCAACAGGCTAACAGCGACATCAAGTGGTATCATGATAGAAATGTTTTTAGTCTGGTTTTTAAACATCTGAGAGAAATTACAACATGGGAGAATGGTTATTGTGACCAGCCTATCTGTGATCTGGCCCTAAGTGGGTGGAATTTTTAAAATTATAATTACAACCAATGCTTCTATAACACAAGTTTTGTCTCCAGCGCAGACTCAGAGTCTAATAAGAAATTCCACTGAGACAACCATGATTAGTACGTAAATGAGCATAAGTAATTTTGCTTGTCCTTTTAGAAATAAGAGGGAGGCAGGTGTTGAGCAGTGTGGCGTCAGCATTCTACAGAGGGACCTTCTAATCATGAGAAGTACCAATGGGAGGTTCAACCCAAAAGGTTAAATCCTCCTTTGCTGACTATTAGGTGTACTATTTGCAGCCCATTAATCTCTCATTAATATGTTGTTCCTCCACCTCTAAAATGGGAAACCTGACCTTATCTGTATGAGAGAAGGCCAAACAGTGGATCTGTGAAAACATTCTGATAGCTGTGCACCTCTTGTCTTACATATATCTGGAACCACCTGAGTTTTCCAGGTTGCAAGATGCTCCATATGATAAAAAGAAATAGAGAGTAGGCCCCTTTTTAACTGATTCCCATGGGCATGAGGACACGAAGCCATGTGGGATATTTATCAAAGAACTCCATTCACCACAGCTGAAATATTATGTACAAGTGCCAGTAATCTCATACCTCCCTTCTTCCACACCCATCATTCAGGACTGCCACCAACAAGATTTGTGCTCCAGAACACTCAGTCAAAATAGTTAATAAACTTACAAAATGTGTAAGGCAGGGTTCTGGGTAATTCATACAAGCTTTATAGGTCTTAGATATCATAAAAAAGAGTGGTATTTAGATTATTCAAAAATCCCTTCCCATTCAAATACCAAAACTGTGGCTTTCCAACAAACCAGTCTCCATCTCTTGTCTTAGCAATAACAATGTTTAACCCTTCCACTCATCACCATTGGCGTTTCTCTCTGGTGTCTACCTAAACATACGGAAATCATCCTTCAACTGCCCCTGAAAACAGAAGTATCAGAGATTCTGAGCTTTCTAGAACAAACCTGATTTCAACTAAAACAATCTTGATTTCAAGCTAGAAAAGAAAACCTGGGTTCAAACCTGTTTCTCAGAAGATACACCTATGTTGTGCCCTGATTCCACTTGAACACTTTCTTTGTGTGCCTTTAGGAAAGCTCTCTGACCCACTGGATAAGCGAGGTCTCTCCTGGCTGAAGGGCTTTATGGTGTCTCACCAGCTATGCTTCTCAGGAAGGGATAGCCAGGTCAGCTACCCCCTCTCCCCCCAAACCCAGGGCTCCCAGGCCTCTCTTGGGGAAGAGGGAGGCATAGAGGGTCTGGAATATAAATAAGCTAATTCCGGTTAGCAGCAGGAAGGCTACAGGAGCCACCAAGCCTTAAGGGAGTTGTTTCCTCCAAATTGTGGTCCCCTAATTGAATGCCGGCTCTCTTTAACCAGAGGAGAGGAAATTGCCCAGAGACCTTGGTTAGCACAAGCAGGTTTGCCTAAACCTCTTTCTGGGGCACAAGCAGCAGCCCTGAGAACTATTAGCAGAAGCTTTAATTCTGATGAGAAAATCTTCAAAGGCCCTGAGTGAGGGAAGAAGTGTCACTGAAAAATGTTGAAATGACAAATAGCAATATTCCCGCTGACAAAAGATGAAGATGAGACAAATGTTAGAACAGAAAACATGATTTTATTTGATGATGCTCTCCCTGGCAACTGTCATCAAAGTCTTGAACTGAAATGAAAAAGGTTATCGATATAACAAGCACACGAGAGCATACTTAGATTTCTAACAACAAAAAATCATATTTGAAATAACAATAGCTTGTAACAAAATGAAAACTCAGAAGGTAGAAAGTAAAGCATGTGGCCTCAAATAGCCTCGTGCTGCACATTTGTTAGAGAACGTCAGAGCTGGAAGCCACGTAGGGATCATCTGGACAAATCCTTTAATGTTACAAAGGAGGAGATGCTGAACCCAAAGAACTTTAAGTTACTTGTTCAAGGTCATATAACTAGTTAGTGACTTCTGAATTGTTAGCAACTGCCTTCTCTGCTTCCACAGAGCCAATTTCTGAAGTCCTCAACCTGCAAACTTACCTTTGCCAAGCTACTGAAGTTCAAGGTCACTAGATGCTGCGGCCTTGTATTTGTCTTGTTGTCTTTGATCCATTCTGTGTTCTGCTCGTATAGACTTGCTGGAAGGCACATCACTACCTTTGACTACCACCCCCTCAGACTGTAAATCCCAGGAAAACCTTGAGCAAAAAAAAATAGAGAAAGAGATGGCATCCTAGAAACTGGAGCCCACAGAATTAAGTATTATGAATCAAAGGAAAGATAGAAAACCTAAAAAGTAAAAAAATAAAAAACTTTAATCACTGCTCAGTATGAGAGGTCCTGAAGATCAGTCAATAGGTGAGGCCTTTGGATAATTTACTTTTTAGAAACGTGTCAAGGATTTGGAGCTCTGTAACTTAATCTCCTTTTCAGATAAACAGATTGTACATTTTTTAAATATTGTGGGAAAAACATTTTTAAAAAAAGCATGGAGCATATAGAGCAAAATAACTTCAGATCAAAGGGAAAGAAGCAACATGAAAAATACTGAGAAACACAAATGGAGAAAGGTCTGCAGAATCTAGTGTACTGGGATATGCAGCAAAAATCAAAATGTGTTATTTATGAAATAACATCAAGGAGAGAAGAGTCTACATGGCAAGGCTGAGATAACTGGCATAAGGAAGGATGTTCCACGAACTCAATGCACTCTCTTTTCCCAGGTCTCTGGCTTTCCCAGCCTCTTCTGAGCTCCAGACCCAAATATGAAGCTGTCTTTATGAAATAAAATGGTGGAATCCCAATGTTAACAAGTTCAAGATGGGACTCTTGGCCCCCATCCCACCTGAAATCTCTTACTCCTTAACCCCTTCAGCTATTTCTTATTGCAGGAAACACTTCTCCTTCCATTCCTTTGCTCATCCCAACCCTTCAATAACTTTACTTCTCTGCACCAAAACCACATGTATGTTGACACTTTCTGTCCAACACTTGGACCTATGATTTCTTCTCTAAAAGATGACTCCACCACATTCTTTTTCCTACATATATTTCTCTACCAATCCAGTGTGAATAGGCCTCATCTCTTGTCAAGCCTATTAAATAATCTTCCAATTGGGCTTCTTGTTCCTATTTTTGACCCTTTTATTTTATTCCCCATTTAGTAGTCCAAATAATCTTTAGAAATTGCTAATTTAAATGTACTTTTCCTCAATATAAACTCTTTATTCATTGGTTTAACAGAAAGACAAATATTGACACTCAGCAGAGTTGATCTGGAAGAAACAATTTAGGTAAGAACATGAAAAACCTTAATTAATATATTTAGCTAATTCTAGAAGTTATTGTACATGCTTACACACACATAGACAAACACACACACTGATATGAAAAAAGATATAATCAAAAGGCAAAAAAAAAAAGCCACATTATTATCTCCCAAATCAATAGAGGAATCAGAAGAAAAAGCTCAAGAAATATTTTAAAATTCAAGAAGGGAAAATAGAAAAAGTTGAGTTGTAGGGTTCAACACTCAATGCACATGCATTCTAGACTATAGGATAGTAAGAGAAGAAATAACCCAATAAACTATACCCCATTTCATCAATTCTAAAATGACCTCAGCTCTGAAATGCATTATTATTTCATGTACCACTAAGGAAATGAAAGCTCTGTCAATTGAATTAGGATATGATACTCTTACTTAAATTTTTATTCTGTATGTATGTAGTGTTCTTTTATGTACTTAGATATATATTTTAATATACCTTATTCTTGTTCATAAATAAAATTAAATATTTGCAATATATAATTCAAAATAACCTTAGAACATATTTAGAGTCTGAGTCTTTTTCATCATCATGGGGCATAAACTATGGATGTTCATGTTTTCCATCACAACACGGTGTATTGATTGTGCCATCAAGAGCTTTGCTATGTGGATATCACCAAACACCATCAAACAGGAGCAAACACAGCACTATTGTCTCTGGGATTTTCTTCCAAGCAGCTAATACCCTTTCTGCAGATTCTGCTGTTGGTATGTGGTCAGTCATCCTTTATTTAGCACAACTTCTGCTGCTTGTCTGTTCTTAGCACCTATAAATCATGGCCACTATTTTGCAAGAAAATAGAAAAAAGCACTGATTCCTCCAAATATAAAGTGTTTGCTTCTCTAATATCAAATTCCACATCAATTTCACTTCAATAATTTTTTACATTCACAATAATTTTCTCAATATCAAATAATAATATAATCTTAAAAATAATGACAACTATACTCAATACATATATCACCAATGATAACTTAAAGTGGGGAAAAATTATAGGCACCTATGACTAAATGCAAGCATGTATGGGCCATAAAATTACATCAAGACATATCTTAATTTCAAAGGTATAAAGGTGAGCAAAAATGGGTGTTAGTGTAAAGTACAGTGTAATATTGAACTTTTCATCCAACTTTTATGATTTATTTTTTCTATATTCTTCTGTCCAGTATTGAAAAATTTACCTTTCCTATGAATCATGCCCTTTTGTATATCAAAAAATAGCACTTCTCTATTTTTATTAATTTCCTTAAAGTCTACTTGTTCTGATATTATTAATAACTTGACTACTGCTGTCCTTTTAAATTTGCCTAATACATTTTTACCTACCAGTTCACGTACATATTTTGTGTCACTTTGTTTGAGAAATGCTAATTGAAATCACATTTGGCAAAATACTGTTTTTTCACCTTCAATCTAAAAGGTTTTTCTGTCTTTTAACAGGAAAGTTACACTTAGTTTGATTATTAAATTTGCAATATTTGATTTTTTCTATCTTAACTGATTGTAGTTCTCACCACATCATATACCATGATTTATCAATTATTTTCTTAAATTTCTTTTCATTGTTAAACGCACCATACATATAATGCAATAAATTTACATATATAAACATAAAATGTAATAATAGATTGAATAAATATCTAATATCCACTACCCTGTTTAAGAAACAAAATCATGAATAATTTTAAGGTTCCCTGCTGACCTAGCTAATCACATTCTTTCCTGGATTTAATATTATTCTATGTTTTGCATGAATTTCTTTGTTCTTTCCTCTGTTAGTTTAATATATAAATAATCATAATCAGTTTGCCTATTGTTTAACATTATGCAAATGCAACAGATACTTGTTATTTTTGGTTGGCATTGTGTTTTATGGTGGTAGCTATGGTAAATTTATTTTGCCTAATATATGGTATTCTGCACAAATTTGTACAAACTTTAGAAGAGGCCAGTAATATTATGTTCTGTATGAAATGTGCAGACTATGTAAATGGTGCCCCAGAGCTGAGCAAGGCAATGACCCTGATTCTTTCCATTGCATGAGTGCAACATGATTTATTCATTTTAATAATTCAGTGTTTTTCCTATATTTCTATATTTTTTCCTTGCTATTATGAACAATGTTGCTATGAGCATTATTTTACATGCTTCTTGAACATAGAGTTTTTCTTGGGTTTCTAGCCAGGAGTGGAATACCTGGACATAGTATATACAAATGCTTAACATTACTAAGTCATGCAGGATTCTTTTTCTAAGTGGTTTTACCAATTTCTGCTTCCTCTAGCCTTACATGAGAATTGCTCCTGATCTTTGCCAAGATTTTGTATTTGCAAGCTTTTTTTTTTAATCTAGAGACTATAAAATATAATTTATATTTTTAAAGAGTAATTCAAACTTATTAATGGTTTATGAGTATGTGGTAAAATATGCTTTTTTTTTTTTTTTACTTTGACATATCAGCACAAACATCATTAAAAAGATGATTCCATTTCCTGCAAAAATGCCACAAAGCAGGAGTTTGACTCTCTTTCCAAAACTCAGCTCTAGAGAAATTAAAGGCAGGAGAGAAACAAGAGAACTAATCAATCAAACAAATAGTAAAAATAAGATAAGACTCACCAAGCAACAAGACAGCAAAACCATCCATGGGAAGCAGAACGGTGCTTGGACTCGTGCTCAAGCAGTGCACAGCTGCCATTTGGAAAGGGAGACACCTGCTGCCTACAGAGAAGATAAGCTGGGCCAGATGTTTTAAGTTCCTGCCTTGCTGGCCTTGTTCCTTCAGAACAAAACTCTAAATCAATAGACTATATCATCTGTATTAGATCCTTGAGATTATATTGGTACGTTTTAAAAGCCTAGTAAGAGGAGGAGTTGAAGTTAACAGGTATGAATTTCGTACCCTTTGTGTATTACTGTTCAATCCTGACCATGAGATTTTCCTGGTGGACTGACAGAAAATGTGTCATCAAACTAGGTAGGACTGTCACTAAAAAAATAAAAAATAAAAAAAGGTTTGACTTTGAAGCCTTACTCATCCCCTATCAGCAGATCATATCTGATAACCCAAGGCACTTGAACCCACAGACCAAAAACTGGATATTTGAGGAAGAAAAACACTATAAAATAAATTGACTGAGGTGAGCAAAATGGGAGTAGGGGCTGGGAAGGGAGAATGTGGGATATCTGTAATAATGTCAATAATAAAAAAAGAAAGAAATTGACCAACCTAAACATTTGAAACAGAACTGTTGCAACAGACATTTTATTTTTTATATTTTTATTGATTTTGAGAGAGAGGAAGGGAAAGGGAGAGACAGAAACATTGATGAGAGAGAAACATCAACTGGTTGCCTCCTGTGGGACCCACTACTAGGGATTGAGCCCACAACTCGGACATGTGCCCTGACTGGGAATTGTACCAGTGACCTCTCAGTGTATGGGTCAATATTTAACTACTAAGTCACATCAGCCAGATACAAAAGACATTTTAAATAAGAAAACAAAAGGAGATAATAGTGATAAAAAGTAAACAATTTAAAATATCTGATAAGAAAACACAATTAAAAAGAAAATAGATGAGGTCCATATAGTAAGATTTATAAGGAAGCCAAGGACATCTAAGATCAAACTATTAGGTCTAGTAATAATTAATGTCGTTTTCTAATACTTTTTTAAATCGAATTTATTTAAACAATACAACAAAATTTAATCAACAATATAGTTGCAATTGTTTTCTACTACTTGTGCCCAACGCTCAGGAAGCATTTTAATCCCTCTGTTGTAAAATTCTTGTGATTTTGATGCAAAAAATTCGGTCAATGCATTTTTGAGGCATTCTTCATTATTAAATTTTTTTCCAAGAAAGTTTTGCAAAGAACGAAACAAATGGTAATCGGAAGGGGCAATATCAGGAGAATATGCAGGTTGAGGGAGAACTTCCCATTCCAACTGGCGCAGTTTTTCAGCAGTGATTCTTGCAGTATGCGGTCGTGCGTTATCGTGGTGAAGAATTACGCCCTTCCGATTAATCAGCGTGGGTTCTTTTTCTCTTAAAGCTTGGGCTAACCTTTTCAATTGAGCACTATACACTGCACTTGTAATGGTTTGGTTAGATGGTAAAAGTTCATAATGAAGAATTCCTTTAAAATTCCACCAAACACACAACATCACTTTTTCGCATGCAAGTCAGGTTTTGGCGTGGGCTGCGGAGCCTCATTTTTGTCCAACCATTGAGGCCGCCTTTTCAAATTAACATACAGCACCCATTGTTCATCTCCGGTAACAATTTGCTCTAAAAACGGCAAATGGTTTTGACGAGAGAGGAGCAAACTGCAAATTGTGACTCTTTGATTATGGTTGTTGTCGGTCAACTCATGAGGAACCCATTTTCCAAACTTTTGGACTTTGCCAAGTGCACGCAATTGATTGGAAATTGTTTTTGTGAACAATTTAAAGTTGTCGCAAGCTCTTGTTAGGTAATTTGAGGATTTTGCACCAAAAGAGCTTGAAGAGCTTCTTGATCAAAATTGGACACCCGGCCTCGACCACTCTTGTCATCTAACGAAAAATTTCCCTCGCGAAATTTCTCAAACCAACGCTGGCATTTTCTGGTGCTAACTGCATCTTGACCAAGAGCACTACAGATGTTTTTTTGCAGCCTCACTTGCTTTTCTTCCTAATTGGAACTCGTAAAGCATGCAGTGCCGAATATGCTCTTCATCCGCCATCTTCTTAGCCCTAGTTTTGCAACAAAAACCAAACCAAACACAAACTTTTTCAAGCAAAACTTGTTAATTGCACTTCATACGTTCTGTAGATACCACGTGTTTGAAGGTTATGTCAATACAAGTCAACGCCAAACAAGATTTTAAACGAATGTTTAAAAACGACATTAATTATTACTAGATTGACAGCATTTCTCTATTTCAGATATAAATAACTAAGACATACTACAAAGCCTACCTAATTTTTTTTTAAAGGTAGTTTGTTCAAGGACAAATAGATAGAACTCCATTAAGGGTATAGAAAGAACAATATGTATGGGAGCAGAAAATACTATAATATGTTACTGCAAATCAAAAGCAGATAGTTGTAAGGGTAGAAATTAGCTACAGAAGGGCATGATTAGCTTGTGCTAAAATGTTTATAAACTTCTATTTACATATATAGAACAAGGAAGGATATTATCATTGTTAACAATAGTGATTAAAGCATTAATTCAGACTAAAAAAAAAAAAAAAAAAAAAAAAAAAACCACAATAGTGATTGATGGGTAGTCAAACTTAGAGTGACTAATTTTCTTTGTATACTTTTCTATAGTTTCCAAAGTGTTGCCATTACACACACACACACACACACACACACACACACACAAAAGTGTGTGTTTTTTTCAATCTGAAAAAAATGATGTAGGGAGATCTGCTTCCTCAGCAAGGCAGGGTGCTTGAGCCATGTCTGACTACATGTGGTTAACTAGAGGGTCATTGCTTCCAAGAAGTGCTTGATGTGGGTTCCTTCCTGGTTGTGTGTGTTTCAGAAGCAAGGGAAATGGAGAGGACTGGGCATGTTTCAGAGATTTGGCTCCAAACTCAGTCCTGAAGCTCCCTGCTGGGCCTCTGAACTCATATCAGGTTTAGGACAAAAAAAGATTTGAAGGAGTGAATTGCCTATGAAACTGTGTGAGATGTGGAACATGCAAGGCTGTCTGTGGGATATTGCCCGGGGGACACTCTGTCCCAGCTGTTATGAGACATGGGTGGCTAATGTTCATTGTAGCATCCACCCCTGGCCTTGTGTGCAGGGGGCCTGGACACTGCCATCTCCAACTGAGCCTGGCAGTGGTGGTGGGCACCTCAATGATCTTTGAGATTGTTGCAGAATAAAGGGCATGTGGAGGGCTGATTTATCAATCCTTGACATGTTCCTAAAGATGCCCACAATGGGCACAGGCTTCGAGGACTCCTGGCCATCTTATGGCAGGTAGGTGAGGGCAGAGTCTTCGAGAGGGAAGAGCTCCCCAAACATTCCAGAACAAGCATACCCTTCTCCTTCCCAAACTCCACCCATTTGAAGTCTCAATTATTCTCAGCGGCAATGGAATATTCAGTAAAGACATTCGCAGACATCCTAGGTGCAAACACTTTATTTTGGCATTCATGCCACCACATGCACCAATTTGGGCCTACAGAGTCTGAATCAAGGCAAGGTTGGCAGAAGGGAAAGGAGCACCTGTGAGCAACAGCATCTCTTTATGGAGAAGAGAACCTGCCGCAGAACAAGATGCTGTTGGTTTTGTGGTGCCTGATGAAGAAAAGGAATGGATGGTCTGCACAGAATTTTGGCTCTATTCTGATGCTCCGGGAATTCCTGATGACGGCAGTGGCTCCAGCCGCCTCTGTGCCTTCCTCATTGACCTCTACAAAGCACTTGTGTGCAACCTTGGACACGGGCACATTCTTCTTAGTTGACATTCCAGAAAAGTCTGCCTTGGTTTCCTCAAAAGCATCAGTCATTCCTAAACTTCGAAGAAAAGACTCCAAGTCATAGCTCTCCTCCAGTTTTAACCGGGGAAGGAAAACTTGAACTTTAATCTCACTCATGTTTTCTGGATCCGTCCAAGTTCTGAACTTCTCATATGTAAGTGCCTTTTCCACCTGAAATAATGAAGATTCAGATCCAAAAATCTAGATGACAATATCCTGGTGTAAACCTCTTTTATCCCATCCCCGATAACATGCAACTAGATGCTGAGTTCTGATCCAAGACAATCTACAGAGATTGTCCCTACACCAAATACACCAAGATTTCCCCTCAAATTCTTACCTTTTTCCTTTTTTGTGGAACCAAGTATAAAACAACTAGAAAACACCTAAGACAATGGGAGATGTTTTTTAAAACCCTCTATACCAAATTAATTTCAAATATTTTTAATATACTTATATTTTAATAATCAGGCAGACCCCACCCTCAACATCCTGTGCATTGGTGTGCTGGAGGAGCTAGCTTGTATATCTGGCGACAGTCAATTGTTAAACTCTTGGTAACCTAAACTTAGCCAAAGTGGAGTATTTGCATGAAATCAGCAAACATTATAAATGAGGGTTTATAAATGAGGGATCCAGACAGCCAGCACATTGATGGTCCTGTATCATCCATCTTACAAATTTACCTTCTTCCTGAGTTCTGTTCCTTTTCTGTCATGGGAAGAGGGCTCTCTGCTCCTGTCTAAGATACACTGCTCTCCTGTACTCTTGTTACTCAAAACGCAATCCATGACCAATAATAGCAGCTGTATCACCTGGAATCTTGTTAGAAATGCAAAGAATTCTCAGGCCATAGCCTCTAGTCAAATCTTCATTGTAACGAGATCCCCAGGAAATTTGTACGCACACAAATGTTTGAGGAACTCTGCCCAGATCAATCCTGTCCTTTTCTAGTACTTCCATTCAATAGTTACTGGTCCCTCAACGAGCCCCTCTCTTCAGAATAAAGAATAATGAATAATTCTCTTAAATTCTTGGAACTTTCCTTAGCTTCAACATTTGTCCTTACCCGCAATTCCATTCCTAGATATATTCTCAACAGAAATGCTTATACACCCCCCCACCAAAGACATGCCATAGTGTTTATCCAGTACTCTGTGTAATAACCCCTAATTAAAAATGCCATCTGATGGGCGGCCTTGAAGAAAGGAGCTAAGGCTGGATACACACATTCACTGTCCCGGACTTACCACTGCAAGATCCATGCCTTCATCAGGCAGCAGAATGACCATGCTCAGCTCCTCTCCCGCATAGGGCAGCTCCAGGACCTGGCTTTGCACCTCCTCTATGCAGCCCATTTTAAATTTGTCATGCTTAAACATCATCTGCACTGTCTTTTTTTCCTAATGAAAACATGAAATTAAAATCAGGTTATTGAAAAAGGAGCACAGTTCACTAAAAATATATCTAATTCACAGAACCCCTAGGTACATATAAGAGAACGATTACTTCTGTGCATTTATGCTGATAGATAAAAAGAATCCTCATTATTACATATTAGTATTGAGTACAATATGCGCATGTCCCAGCCAGATCAATTATAACCAGATAAGAGAATAAACTGGAAAATATGGACAGACATAAAACTCTCTCATTATTTTTGGAAGGAGTTTAGGTTTTCTTTTTTGAGAAAATGCATAAAGAAGCACTCCAAGAGACCTTATAATTAAAAATTATTTTTCTTAGTTTAGAGGAGAATGAACTAATATTCAGGTCTTTGGGCTGAAGGATCAGGTTATAGAAGATGTATAGGCCAAAGGAAGTTAGACTTTCATTCTGAAAAGTTGCTCAATTATACCATTGATTGTACAGCTTTGATTTTCTTTAAGGGAGAACCTCAACAAGATGTATAGAGTCCACCATTTTTAAAGCTTGTATCAAATATATTCTAGATTTTTAAATCTTTGTGCAAAATGCTATTGTAAAGCTAATGGAGGTGAAATTTCAGCTATTAGCACCAGCCATTATGATACTCAGAAAGGAATGGAGAGATGTATTTTTAATGTTAGACTTATACACCTGGATACCTAATGTACAACATGATGACTAAAGTTAATAAAACTATATTAAGCCAAAACCGGTTTGGCTCAGTGGTAGAGCGTCGGTCTGTGGACTGAAAGGTCCCAGGTTCAATTCCGGTCAAGGGCATGTACATTGGTTGTGGGCACATCCCCAGTAGGGGGTGTGCAAGAGGCAGCTGGCCGATGTTTCTCTCTCATCGACGTTTCTAGCTCTCTATCACTCTCTCTTCCTCTCTGTAAAATATCAATAAAATAAATAAATGAATAAATAAATAAATAAATAAATAAATAAAACTGTATTAAATACTGGATAATTGCTAACAGAGTAAATTTCAGGGCTCTCATTACACACACAAGAAGATAAGTATGTGGAGAAATATGTTAGTTAGCTTTTCACTATACATATTAAATCATAATCTTGAACACCTTTAAAATATACAATTTTTATTTTTAAAAGATTCCCCCCAAAATTAAAAATAAACATTCAGCCTTAACATCTGTTAACAACATTTTCCTTGTGCTTAGAACTGCATAGCCATGGATTCTAAGGCAATAAATAGGCACAGTTTTCCATGACACTAAAGAGGTGTCTAAGTAAATACAGGCAGTGATAGTACAGTACAAGCATAACTCCAAGGCTCAGAAGAAATTTTCTTTCCATTGCAAGAATGTGACCAGGGATAGAAGGTCAATTTGAACAAGGACTGAAAAAAGGAAACTATCAATAGAAAAACCATTTTCATTTTTCTCCTCCCTTTTCCAATAACATATATAGGAGGCATGAAATACATTCAGAAATGGGTCAACAATCAAAATAGTGTGAAATAAACAATTGACTTTTTTTTCCCATTCACAACCATTCCCAGTGTGCCACTTTCAGAAAATAGCATGTATCTGAAGTCACTGTCCCTACCTGGTTGACTTTGAAGGGCATCCCCCTTGTGTGCTTCCTGTCGAACTGCTCCTTCCACCTGCCTTTGAAGTAGATCGCATTCACCAGAACCAGTTTGGTCAGTGGATCAACGGTGCCAACACCCAAAATCTCCGAAATCTTACCTGTAAAGAGCAGGAGAGAAGTTTATTATTATTTATGGGAGAATAAACATTCTTTTACAAAAGTCCTCTTGACATAGAACACTGAGGCTTGGTTCACAGCCAGGCTGGAATCCTGTCTTTTTGGCTGCCTGATGACTCAGGACGATGATGCTTCAGGCAGGGCACCCACGCAGAGTACTGTCTGTCCTTCAGCAGCAATCCTGAAAGAGGCCGGTCCACTATCATTTTGCCCTCAACTGACAGATGCAGAAATCCAGGTTCAGAGCATTTGCCTGATTTTTTTGCTAAGGTCACTAGATGGCAAGTGACTGGGCTGAGAAAATAATCCAAGAGACCTGATTTGAACGATAAGCCACTCAACCTTGGCACCATAATTTCTCAACCATGCCACTATTGACATTTTAGGCCAGATAATTCTTAGCTGAGGGGAGGAGAGCCTTCCAAAGAATGGGAAATGCAGCCTGATCGTGGGAGAAGGCAGGCTTCCTGAAGAGGGTGAAAAGAACAAAGGAATTAGGGGGATGCAATGAAGAAGCCCAACTTGTCATTCAATGAAAGTGGGGACAAGGTGATCCCCAAAGTCCCTCCAGCTCTAATATTCTGGAAAACATGTGGGATGGTCAGCCTGATGGAAGGAAAGGTGTGAACAGCTATGGAGGGGATGCAACAGGTGAAGGAAGGTGAGGTACAAAGCTTCTGGCTTCGCTAGTGACTTACAGCTATTCCAACTACGGGGACGAAGAAACCACCACACATAACACCTAAGAAAACATAAAAGTCTCTTTCCTTGCAACAGTCATTATGTTATGGGCTTTCAGTATAATCATGATCGTTGCTGCTACCTGAGATGGTGGGGATGCCACAAAGATTGAATGAATGGAGTGATGAGTGCTGGGTGGGCATGTGGACATATTGAAATTAAAGTTCAGGAACTAGGGGAACTATTTCTGCTGAGACTGAACTTGGTTTGGACAGGGGACTTTGCAGGCTCTGCATAGGCTGTGGTTCCTGAATCTGGAACAGACTCAGAAAATGTCACCCTCTAAAAGCAAACTTAGCCACAGCCTCATGGCAAAGAAGGAGCAGGCCACGGATGAAACCAGAGCTGTTCCATTACCATAGGGAGATCACGTGAAAGGCGGCCCTATCTCAGCTGCCACCCAAATCGGGTGTTATCCCAGAGTGGGGCAAGGCTCCCCCAGATAGTAAACAACAGGACCCCCATCAGGATGCATTATTCTGGTATTTTCTAATAGAGTCCGGGGGGAGAAGGGGAGGAATCATCTGAGACCCCTACACCTGGTTTAAGTTTTTATTTGTAATCACCACTCTAAGATCTGATTGTTAATTACAAACAGAAAAGACCTGCAAGCCCCCACCCCCAGCCCCCCCAAAAAAATCACAGAACTGCATGCTGGCCTGAAATCACAGCAAACACACTCACACACACACAGGTTACAGGGTGCCAATAGTGGCACTGGAGGTCACAGTGCCACTCTCACCTCCTGTTCCTTCCCAGCTTCCCAAGTCCACTAAAATGAAATCTCTCACCTTCAGTCTTTTCTGCCACCCAGTCGTTGATGTGCTTCCTGCATTCCTCAGTGTCTTTAGCAAAGGACAGCTCCTCCAACTCGGCCTGATAGAACTTCTGGCAGGATTCCTTAAAGTCCTGCAAGCACAAAACACTGAGTCCGGCCCCATGCAGCAAAGGTCCCCACAGTGGGAACACATCTGTTTTTTCTGAACATGTTTCTAGCCTAACTGCTTGCACAGCTCATCCTGCACATTAACTCATTCATGCAATTATCAAAAATGCACAGACCACCCACGGGATGATGGACACCAGGGTGAAGACATGGCATGAGACCGGAGGTGGCTCCCAGCCTGTGAGAGAGATGACGTACACACACAGATAGTTACAAGATGTCTTGAGAACATGGAGGGTGGCAAGCATGCACCAAAGAGCCCATCATGAATGTCCATCAATCACTTAAACTGTGTACTGACTTTCTGGTTGATTTTTCTGTCTCCCTCCCCCAATTAAGCACTCTAACTTTCTTTATCATTTTTGCATCACTGACACCAGCCCCAGGGTCTGAAACATCTCTGTGGAGTGATTGGGAGGCTCCATGGCAGAACTAGATTATCAAGAAATCTTATAGGTCTCCCAGGAGTGGAATGTGACTGGGGTGTGTGTGTGTGTGTGTGTGTGTGTGTGTGTGTGTAAGGGATTAGAGGGGAAAAACAAGCAGCAGCAGATGACCTTTGAAATGTGAGGTAAGATAAATCAGGAAGGCCTTCTACCCAATATATTAAAACCCAACAATAACTCACCTCATAAAAACTTGGTCTCAGATATAATGTGCCTGGCAACTGGTGCCTATCCTCCGCCCATCTCCTGTTCTCAAATAGTTTAGCTTCTACAGAAGAAAGAAGATGTGGAGAGAAGAGCCCAGCAACTGAGAAAGGTGGCAGGTGGTTCGTTGTGTCCCCAATATTCCCCAATTACAATATTCAAAGATTAGGCTGATGTTCAGAATGAACATTGTTTAACCAGTAGATTCCTGGAGTCATGCTTATCCTAGAAGACCTAGCCAGCTAAAAGATCCAGAATCATCTCCAATGACTTTTTATGCCCAGTGCAGGCAACCTCCACGGGGTAGCTAGCACCCACCAGTAGGGATGTGAGCCCTACTGAAGAATCTTGGGAACTGCCAGCCAATAAGATGGCCAGGCTCATTTATCTCAAGATAGCATCTCTCTGTATATTACGTAGCATCATTTTTTGGAACTTATTTACTGAATCGTGGCAGGCTTTCTTTCACTGGACAAGGGAACCCTGAAATTATACACTGCAATCAATAACAACTACTCAGATCTAGAGGAAAAGAGTCTGTGTGTCAGAGGATGGACATGTTGAAATTAAAGTTCAGGAGGGATATACCAGAAGCAATTTAAAAAGAACATAATTCAGAAGCTATCAAAAAATTCAAAATTATAATTACAGAGGTATAAATTCTAAGCAAATGTTGAAGGCAGTAGAGTTATACTTTATCTCAGTTCCTCCTAAGTTTCATTTTATTTTCAATATTTTGTTAATCAATGTGTGAGTACTACTGCCCTGGCCCATGTGGCTCAGTTGGTTGGAGCTCTGTCCAGTACACATAAAGGTCACAGGTTCCATTCCTGGTCAGGGCACATACCCAGGTTTCAAGTACAATCACAAATCAGGGCTTGTGCGGATGCTATCTATTGATGTTTCACTCTCACATCAATGTTTTTCTCTCGCTCTCTCTCTGTCTCCCTCCCTTTTCTTTCTTTCTAAAAGCAACAAAAGTATGTCTTCAGGTGAGGATTAAAAATAATAAATAAATAAATAAATAAATAAATAAATAAATAAATAAAATGTGTGAGTACTACGTACTGGGAGGAAATCACACGTCTTTTCTCCAAATAGTCTGTTGGCAGTTCTGAGCAAGTACTGGGTGTCAGATCTGTTAACATCCGAGAGAAGTGCCTGGAAACCTTGGTGGACATCACCAGCCTTGTTCAAACAAAGTGCCTGGAGAGAGAAAACACACACATTTAACATTGTCATTTTGCTCCCCCAAACACATCTCCGTGCTGAAAATCACAGCAGATCCTATCTCGAAATGAGTTTGCTTTCACCAGTCAGCGCGGGGTTTCTCAACCTTGGACTTCTGGCATTTTGGACCAGTTTCTTTGTTGTTGGGGCTGTCCTGTACATGCCTGATATGCTGCAGCATCTCTGGCCTCCACCCACTAGATGGCAGCAGTACCTCTCAGTTATAACCACCAAAACTGCCTCCTTCCTCCACTGCAAACCCCACCCCGCCCCGCCCCTACTCACAGCCTCCCCGACATGACATCCTGAGGCCAGGAAGGCAGGATGTGAAAACCCTTGAGGGAGACGGAACACAACAAATAGGTGGCTGGAATGGATCTAGCCTGATCTGGGAAAATTTCAAGAATGAGCAGAAATAAACATGAAAATGCCTCATCAGCAATTTTACAGAGGTTCTCCGGCCCAGACTGTGATTTAAATGTCAGACCAGAGTGAGAATTCAGGTTGTTCCTGTATCAACCAACAACCCCAGCCCAAAGCCTCAGTCCTCCCATGAACTGGATGAAACAACCACAGAGATTCAGACAGTGGACTCGCTTCTGTACACCCTGATGTGACTGGCAAAGTGATGACCCTAAGCAGTATTCTGGGTCCCTTTCACAAGACGATTAAAGAAACTAAGACACAAAGAGGTTAAGGACTCTTTCCCTAAGGTATTATCCTCTACTTCAGTGTAGCTGAGGTCACACAGAACCCACATCAGATCAGTCAGATCATATATCCTACGTGACTCTGGATAATAAAAGTCCACTTCTATGTGCATTCTTCCTCCACTTGTGCACAATCATACATTAGAAATAACTTGTTTGACAAAAAGTTCATTTACATAGCAACATTTCCATTTGAAATGTGTTAGCAAAAGTTAAAATATAATAAAGCTTAAATTTTTGGCCTTCTTATGACACAAAATTATAATTTACCTTAATTCTCAAAGATAAAATTTTGCTGTATCATACTGATGCTTTATCTACAGAAAATAACCCTAATACTTGATTTCTCCCATAAACACCAAGAGGAGATTCCCTGTCCTATATAATTTCCCTGCTCTACCTATATCTGCCCTTTGTCCATCTGCAAGTGTCCCCCTTCCCACCTACCAGCCACCTTGACTTTCATCAGCTGGGACAGATATGAAAAGACCAGCCCTGCGGAAACAGAGAAAACCATGCATTGTTCTTCCATTGTGGCAGCACACCTACCTGGGACATCTGGGCTGCAGTGTCTCCTTTGGCCCCCATGAAGACCATGGCCAGGGCAGAAGAGATGCTCAGGGGAGAAAAGAACACATTCTGTGAGTTGTATTCTTCACCCAACATTTTTAATAAGGTGATGGCAAAACTGCCATTTGCTTCCCCAAAATCATCCATCACGGAAGGTCTGTTGATACCGAGGGAAGGTCTGTTGATGGATGATACCAAAATGGATCTTGCCCAATGAATCTGAAAAGGAATTAATTTCAATATTAAAACAAATGAACACCTTTGGGTACCAGTGCCACTATTCAACTGTGTCATAAAAACACAACACAGAAGCACATCAGCCAAACCCTCTGACACTGGATGTGGTCGGCAGAATAACTCTACCCCCAAAGACATTGAATTCCCCAACCTGTGACTACATTATCTTATGTGGCATGGGGGACTTTGCCGATGCCACTGAATTAGGAATAATGCGATGGGGAGAGTCTACTGGACAATCGACGTGGGCTCACTATAATCACCAGGTCCTTACAAGAGGAAGGAGGAGGATCAAAGTCAGAGAGGTGATGATGGATGCAAAAGTCAGAATGATGAGAACCCAGGAACCAAGGGATGCAGGCAGCCTTTAAGGGCTGCAAAAGGCAAGGAAACTGATTCTTTCCTTGGGCCTGCAGAAAAATAAAACAAAACAGTAACTCCGAGGACCTATTTTGGACTCTGGCCTCCAGAACTGTCTGATAATAATTTTTCGTTGCTTTCAAGCCACCAAATTTATGGTAAGGTTTTATAGCATTGATAGATAACTAATGTTCTGGTTTACTCACCAAGTAAATACCAGAGCTCATAACTGATCCCACTCTTAGCAACGGGACTTCTGCAGAGGCTCGGACACTCTCTGAGACCTGCAGACTCCTAATCCCATCTGTACACTAAAGTTGTTAAAGGATTGGAACTTTACACAAAATGAACCTTGCCCAATGAGTCTAAAAATGAATTAATTTTGATATAAAACAAAATAGCACCTTTGGGTACCAGTACCACAATTCAACTGTGTCATAAAAACACGACAATGTGATTTCCAGTCAATAAAATGAGTTGGCATGAAACTAGTCTTCCCTTCGCAGGTGAACAGACAAGGTCAGGACTCACAGTAAGGTCTCATAGTAAGAGTGGCCTAGTCAGCCGCAAAACAAGCTTTGTGGTGCCAAGTGTGTGTCATCTTCCTCTTCCTGGGAGCTTTGAACATCTGCCAACGCCCCGCTCCATCCCCTTCCTCAAACACACATTCCCAAAGTGAATCTGTTCAAAGAGCAGGCAGACCTTTCCTTATATGGGATTGGGGAAGGAAATGAACAATAAATGCCGTAATTCCCTACTGCGACCTCCCTCCCTATGGTAGACACAAAGACATAAACGCGTGGTTTCAAGCCAGCCAAGGGCCCTACAACAGGAGGATTTACAAGGAGCCATGGAAGACCACAGAACAGCAGAATGAATTTATGGTAGCAGCCGCCCGTGGTGAAGATGAGCGGTGAGCTGGCCCTACAAGGTGGGGCAACAGTTTCTGTAAGCTGGTGAAAAGAGGGAGGTGAATTTTAAGGCGGTGGCTGTGGGATTGGCAGGTGCAAAGAATGTAGCAGGGGGACATGTTTGCGTGTGGCCAGGGAGTGGTGTCCTCACAGAGGCAGCATGTGGTGAGACAGGATGGGCCCCTTGTACCAGGTTTAGAAGTCTGAACCTGAGCTATGAGCTGGAAAGCCATGCATGGTTTGTACACAAATGCTTTACAGGAATATATTAGAACTTTAGAGAAATACTATGGCTCTCCCTGTAGCATGAACAAAAGGCTGGGGATCCAGCTGTTGGAACACTGCCATTGATCCGTATAGCTGAATACAGAGGACGCTCATGCACTAGAGAGTCGGAGATGGAACTGCCCTGCTGGGGGACTGATCACATCAGGGCAGGGAGTGGCAGGAGTCAAGGATTTCACCGAAGCTTCTTAAAAGACAAGACACCCAAAATGGAGTCACTTATGCGAAGGCCCGCCTCACCAAACCAAGACTTAATTACAGTTTTGTTCTCCCAGAAATTGAATCTTAAAACAGTGGGTCAGGGATCACCTGGTCAGCACTAGTTAGGTCATCTGCCTGAGACACCCCTGCCGGCCCTAAAGGAAAGTAACTGCAATAACCAGCCGGCCTTTGGCCCGTCTAGGTTCCTTGTCCTGGTCCCTTCTGCCTACAAAAACCTTTCGTTTGCTACAGCTCCTTGGAGCTCCCTTCTGTCTGCTAGATTGGATGCTGCCAGGCTCGAACTGATCTTTTTTGCTCAAATAAACTGAGAATTTTTAATGTGCCTCAGTGTATCTTCTAATAGACGGCTAACTAATTATGCTGAGGAGGGGCCTGGAACCCCAGGCAGTTTACATGAGGAGCCGGCACGGAATGGGGAAGGTGTACATTCCAGGTGACATGTGTGGAACACACCGCACCAACAGAACAGAACTGTGACAGCCAGGGCGTCTGCCAAGGTCAGCAGGTGGCATAAGGTGAGCATGAGTCCTAGAGGGAGAGATTGGGAACCACAGCATCCTGATTCCAGAAGAGTCTAGGCAAATGGGATATTACTCAAAAGGTACAGTGGAGGTGGAAGACAAGAATGTCACCTAGTTCTGGAGAAGGTCCAATATTTGCAGGTAGCAATCAGGGACATTCTGGGAGATCTGGGAGCCTGTGTGTGTGTGTGGGGGGGGGGGGGGGGGGTCTAGGGGAGTGAAGCTGAGAGGCAGGCAGGAGGATGGGCCAGGCAGGTAGTGAACTTAGAGGCCCTGTGGGCCAGAAGCAGCCTCAACAAGGAGAGGGAGCTGGGGCTGGAGCTACAGGGCTGAGCGGCTAGGAGTGGGGACTCCATTCTATTAAGTACTGTAGCTACTGCGAAGAAACAGGTGAGGGCGCACCTTCTCAAGCTGAGAGAGCGAAGCCCATGAAGAACAGATGAACGAAAGAAAAAATGGACAAAGAATGGAAGAAAAATAGAAAAAGAAAGGAGGGAGGGAGGAAGGAATCAGAGGGGGAGGGAGGGGAAAAAGGGGAAGGAGAGAGACAAACAAACAAGCTGGATCGCAGAAGGACAGTCACGGGACAGGCATTGGCGCGGGAAGGAGGTGGCTCGACCGGAACTTGCCCCAGGAGGCACAGAAAATCCAGGCCAGGGTGCAATTAGCACCCAGCTTTCCGGCTGCGCCCTGGGGCTCCTCCCACTCACCTCCCAATGTCCCCGCCCACCCTGCTGGGTCACCTGCTACTCCTCCTCCACCGGCAAAGCGCAACGCAGGGTCCCTCCCACCCGGGGACCCCCCAGACCCAGGCGCCGCTGGAGCGCTTGGGTCCCACGCCCCCGGCCCAGGCGGACACGCACCGCGCGGTAACGCACCAGACTGCACGGCAGAGCCAGGGACGCGGCGGAGACCACGGAGACCCCGGTCCATTAACAATCCTGCCGGGTTACCCCTCGCCACCTCGCCCCTAATCCTCTCCACCCCTTCCTCCTCTAGCTTCTGCCATCTGCCTATCTCCCTCCCTTTTCTCCCTCCCTCCCTTCTTCCTCCCTGCCCCGCGCCCAAGCTCCAGGCCCGTGGGGTCCTCGCGGGAACCTGAGGGCCCCAGCGCCTCCCAGCCCGGGTACCTGGGAAGTTCCTGCCGCGGCTGCTGCTCCTGCTCCTGCAGCTACTAATCCAACTTGCAGGATGCTTCCCGTTCGCTCTGATTTGCTTCCGGCGATGACTCACTGTAGTCCGCTTACACCGGCGGAGCCCTGTGACTCCGCATCCCCAGGCTGGAGCCCGGGAGGAGCCTAAGCTAGGAGCTCACCCTCCGCCCAGGCGCCAGTGCAGAGGGTTGGCAGGGAGCCTGGTGTCCTGTCCTTCACCCAGTGGGGGATTGTTCCTTTTCCTGTGTTAGTATGCGCAGAATTCCTGCTCAGTGTGTGCAGGCAAGGAAAGTTTGGAGACTGAAACTTGCTTTTGAAAATTAACCAAAAGCAAAACCCACACGTGAAAAATGGTTCCTAAAGCCACTTGTTTCCAAACTGCGTAGGGTACCCCATCAGAACAATTGTTGAGCACACATCCCCAGTACCTATGTGAACTTATGTGTACTAATATGTTAACTATTAATATATGACGGACACCATAAAACACATCAACAGAAATTAAAACGAATAAGAAATAAAAATTTTATTAGAAATACACTTTTTTTCTGCTTACAAAAATTTAAAAATTTAATGAGACCAGTGTAATTAAATGTTTGTTTGTTTGTTTGTTTGTTTTTAGTTTAAGGCTTTGAAATAGAGTTAATTTGAAGACCTGGTTTTAAGTTCAGTTTATTTCTAAACTTGCATCATTGATGGCCATCAGGAAGAAAGGCTGCTGGAGAAATGGGCTGATTTAAATGGAATAAAAGTAGCTTTGGTTCTACTTACTAAATCTTGACACTTTATTTTTTTCAATCCATATACTAATTGTGCAAATATTTCTAGTTGAAATCTCACTGGTAAAAAACCGTTCATCCTCTTGAAAATCAGTTCTTTCTGCAAGATAATTTTTCTAAACCTTGTGTTTTAAACATTTTTACAGTTTGAAGCCCACCAAATGTTTTCTGTTTGGAGGATTTTTATGAAGTTTTGGAATTGTGTTTCCAAGTTTAAATGCAAATACATGAGAGTTTTCATATTATTTTAGTAATATTTTATTTTAGTAATAAAATCATCTAGTGATGGAAAAATATACAAAAGATGTTCTTAAATTGATCACATTTAAAAAAAAATAGTTTATTTCTCATTCACAGACAAGAAGTACCTTTACCTACAGGCAGCTTAATGCCCTGGGGCAGAGATTCAGACTTCTTTGAAGGTATGGGTGACACAGAAATGTGCTGTCTGCCAGTGGCAAAGAAATTTGCCCGAGGTCAGAACTAGCTCACAGAAGCTGTCTGCCATTACAGGAAGGTGTGGGCAATCTACAGCTGGCTGATGGAAGCAAAATGCCAGGCGGCAAAATCTCCACAAGTGATTTCTTTCATTGTGACTTAATGTGAAATGTTTCATAAAGAGATGATAAAATATCATAAATATTAAAATTTTCCATCTTTGTAGCTAAGGCATAGTCATTTGTTTAATACATTTTCTTGTACTAATTTATATAATAATGTTCAGGTCTGATCCACTCTTCCAATTGTAAAATAAAGTTAAACAAGCAATCTAGAGTGATACAGTTAATCTCTAAAGTTAGAATAACAGCTGGTGAGACTACCAATAAGCAGTTTCTATAGAGCCGAATCACTCACCTGGGCTCTATCCTGTTGCTACTTCTCCCCTGAGACCTCCTTTTGTTTCATATTCCCAGCTTTAATAATCATATCCTAAAAATTACTTGGTCTGGTACTGTGAAATCTATCTTGCACAAAGTCAAGAACCCATGCATTACAGGCCGATCCTGCTCAGAGCTTGCTCCTTTTCCAGTGACACTATTATCTAATATGACCAAGACACATCTGTGAAAACTAAGAAGCCAACATTGGTGCATTGCTGTTAAGTAAATTCCCAAATTTCATTTGGCTTTCACTAGCTTTGCCATTAATGTCAACATCGTATTTTTAAATAGATAACAGAAAAGGCAAATTTAATTTTCCAGGGGTAATTTATGAACTATCAAAATTATACTTGTCAAAACATTCTTGTTTATCAATATATTGTCTTTATAAAGATTTTTCTTCATTAAATTATCCATGTGAAACATAAGTGATAATACCATGACCAGACAGCTCAAGAATTATAAGGCATTTAGTTGAGTAACAGTAGTTTGGAAATGTAAGTAAAGGCCACATTTTAAAAAATGTCTAGTGGAAGAAATAAAATTTGCCATTCTTTCTAGCCATAAAGATATGACAGTATCACTAGCATGCATTATTTCAAGATTTATTTGCTAATATTCAAATGTGAAAAATATCTAGACTGCAAACTAGTTTTTAGTATAATTGTTTTTCCATCTTATGATGTATTTATCACATCGTCTTGTTTGATGAAAAGGAAGCAGGCTTAGGGGGAGCAGAATCTCCCATAAAAGAGAATACTATTGGTTTTGTTGTGCCTGATGAAGAAGAGGAATGGGTGGTCTGCACTGAATTCAATGGATGGGAGTCTGATTCGAAAACCCACCTCACTCCCACTACCAGCTGCAGCCTCGGTACCTTCTTCATTTATTTCCACAAAGGACTTGTGGAAAACATTGGACAGAAATAGGTTTTTCTCTGGGGACATTCCAGAGAAATCAGCCCTGTTCTGGCTGAAGGCATCGCTCATCCCCATGCTGCTTAGGGCTGACTTGAGATCATAAGACTCTTCCAGCTTAAACTTGGGAAGGTGCAGCTTCACATCATACATCTCCATCATGTCTGCACTGGTCCACTCACTCAGCTTTTCAAAGGTGATGGCCTTTTCCAGCTGCAGGTATGGAATAAGGGAGAAAAAGTCAGTCATTCCAAAGTGGAGTGGGAAATATGGGTTGAGTGAGGTCTCTATATAATTGATGGATTACGATTACTCCCATTACCCAGGGTAACAAAACACATATGTATGGAAATTCTTTGGGTCATGACATCCTTCACATGGTTGACCTACAGAACCTTTGGTCTGCAGATTGATGGGTCTCAGGATGTAAGAGAATTCTATCTTGATTCAAACTGAAAGTACTTCCATGATAATATGCACAAGATGAAAAATACACTCAGAAACATAAAATTAGATGTAATTTACATGTTATCAACACAAAAACATATACTATAGGACAAGTTGTATGTCAGGGCAAAAAATCCATTCATTTTATTAACATTGGGGACAATTTTTTTAACATAAAATCCTAGATAGAATAAGATGTCTATAATCACAACAGTATGAATTTAGTAACCATAAACAATGCAAAGAAAGAAAGGAGAAAAGAGAAAAAAAAGATAGGAAAATCCCCAAATCTTAAGAGTAATGACTTTTAAAAATTTATTGGAAACATTGGTTAATAAACTTACATAGGTTTCAAGTATACAATTCTATAATACATCATCTGTTTATTGTATTGTGTGTTCACCACCGCATGTCAAGTCTCCTTCCATCACCATCTATCCCTGAGTAATGTCTGTTTTTATAGTGATTTTGAGGGTGCTTTTTTCCTCTTTATGTTATAAATTTTAAAATAATAAATATATATGTATGGATATATACATATGTGTATGTGGAGAAAAACAGTTTTTGAGTTTTTTTAATAACCTGTTTGTCTCAAAGTATGTGCTTTTGCTACTTTGTGAATTTTTTAGACCCAAGTTTTGCTGTCAATGACATACTTGTAAATGACATCCTAATATATAAAAATCCTGGATCCATCACATCCACAACAACCAGAGGCTTCACCAACCGGAAGTCAGTCCTGCAGTCAGTGCTGAGTTGCTCTAGTGACCCACCACTGACTGCTGCAGCTACAGGTGCAGTGACCCAGCACTGACTGCAGAGGGAGTTGTGACTCAGGCCTGGAGAGAGGCCTGAAGAGAGAAGCAGGGTCTGATCTGTAGCCTCTGTGGCATCTGTTGATCAGCACTTGCCTCTCCCTTTCTAGGCCTGGCCAGCAACTGAACCTCCATTTCTCATCAGGCCTCCACTGGGGCTGCTGATCAGCCCTGCCTTTCTAATCAGGCTCCATTGATAGACCCAGAGACACTGACTGGCATAGAAACTGACCAATCAGAACCAAATTGGCCAGCAAAGGAGGGCAGTTGGGGGCAAGAGCAGACCAGCAGGGAAGGACAGTTGGGGGCAATCGGGCCACCAGGAGAGCAGGTAGGTGTTAATCAGGCTGGCAGGGGAGTGGTTAGTGGCAATTAGACAGGCAGGCAAGAAGTGGTTACCATTAGTGGCAATTAGGCAGGCAGGCAAGAAGTTTGGAGCCAACAATCCCATACTATGAGAGGGATGTCCCAGATAGAAGAGGGTGCAGGCTAAAGGGACACCCCCCAGTGAATGAATTTCATGCACCTGGCCTCTAGTACATTAATAATGTGACAATATCCTAAGTTTAAGACTGCACCCTTAGGAAGAAAGGTTTATCTTGTAAAAATGTGACTCTCACGGTTTAGTGTCCACATGTGGTCTTATTTTTACCATCCTCTCCAGTTTCAAAAATTTTATGATACAGTGAAAAAATCTTCTCTACATACTAGTAGGATCCTGAAAAGGTCTAAGTATAAAAAAAATCTAGCACACATAAAAAATCAGGCACTGTACAAAAAAAGACTGGCCACTTGCTGCAGAGAAATCAATATTCAATTTAGACATACAAATTGCTCAGGTATGTCATCTGATCAAAATTATGTATGTTTAATAGAAATTTGGTTGATAAATAAATAATACTTGAAGATGATACTTATATAGACTATTTCTTCTGAAGACTATTTACATGATAAAAATGTGTTTACAATTTTTGGAAGTAAATTTACTGTTTAAAAATGTACATCTAATGCTACTTTAATGCAGGTGACTAAAAAATTAATCTGCTACCCTAGCCAGTTTTTCTCAGTGGATAGAACCTCGGACCATGGACTGAAGGGTCTTGGGTATGATTCTGGTCAAGGGCTAGTAACCTCAGTTGCAGGCTCAATCCCCAGGCCTAGTAAGAACACATGCAGGAAGCAACAAATGGATGTGTCTCTCCTACATTGATGTTTCCCTCTTCAGTCCCTCCCTTAGGAAGCTGCACTCTTAGAAAGGCTTATCTTGTAAGAATGTGACTCTTCTTACAAGGTAAGATAGGGAGGTTTCCACTCTCTCAAAAATATCAATGGGAAAATACTCTCGGGTGAGGATTAACAAAAAATAATAATAATAATTTCCCATTAGGTAGGTCCTGCCAAAGGGAGAAGACCTGAATGATCAATCCACACAACTTTTTGACTGACAAAGAATATCTTTGTTGTTCGTGTTGCTGTTCTTGGGACTACCCCAGGCTACAGGTATCTGTCAATTACTGACACTTTCTAAGAAATAGCCATATCATCCCTACAGAGTTTTGTAAAGCTGAAATGGTATTGGTTGCCTTCCTCTACAATTTAGGAGACAGAGAGGCCATGTTACATGGAGGTAAACACCAGAATCATCCTCGAGTCAGACAGATGATGTCTTACCTCATCCAGCCCACTGATGTCTTCTGGCAGCAGTATGAACAGGCTGAGGGCCCGGCTCTCATAGTAGAGTTGAAGGCCGATTGCTTGTGGCTTTTCTATGTGAAAAACGGGAAGCTTTTTTTTCATCGACATCATTTGCACTGGTTTGCTTGTAGTCTATAGAAAATAAGGAGCAAAGTCACTGAGGAGGTGTTTCACCAAATCCTTCATTCTTTATCATCATTGGTCCCCAGGAGCCTGGTGCTTGGGCCAATTTGGTGGTCCCCTGTTAAATACTAAATAAAGTTATTCAGACTTTGCTTTCTGTAAATATGCCTTCAACTGGGTAGCATCATATGTGATAAAATATGTGAATAGTCTATTTTTAGATTAAAAAAAAAACTTTCAAGGTGGGATGAAACTGGGAATGCTCACTTTAGCCATCTGTGCCCTAGTAAGAGCCATATTTTATAAGAACATATATTTAAAAAGAGGAGTGAATTTAAAAGAGGATTTTCTTTACAATAACACATGAAAATCCATACTGATTATTAAATGATTCCTACCTTGTTTATTCTGAAAGGCTTTTCTGTGGTGTCTTGGACTAAGAATTGATGTTCCCAGGTTCCTTTAAAGTAAAGGGCATTCACCAGGACCATTCTGGTTGCAGAATCTACAGCATCATCAGGTAGGAGATTTGGGATTTTTCCTACAAGAGAAAAAGGACAGATTTCAAATGGTATAGTTAAATCTTGATGAAATACCACACTTACAAAAATGATGATTATGAAATATAATATTCCAAACCAGGAAGTCATCTTTTTTAAAATATTTTTTATTGATTTCAGAGAAGAAGGGTGAGAGAGAGAGAGATAGAAACATCAATGATGAGAAAGAATCATAGGTCAGCTGCCTCCTGCATGCCCCTTCCCAGGGATTGAGTCCTCAACCCAGGCATGTGCCCTGACCGGGAATCAAACTGAAGCTTCCTGGTTCATAGGTTAATGCTCAACCACTGAACCACACTGGCCAGACCAGGAAGTTAGCTTTAGTAGAATATTATGAACAGATCTTATTTAAATTTTATCAGTTGTTCCAATAACTTATTTTTCTGGACTAGAAATCGATCCAAGATCTCAAGCTATGTTTAATTGTCATTTCCTCTTAGTTGTTAGTTCTCTTTAATCTGGGAGAGTTTCTCAGTCAATGCTTGTCGTCCATGACCTTGACAGTTTTTAAAAAGTTGTGTAAGAATGACCATCAGCCCTAGCCAATTTGGCTCAGTGTATAGAGTCTCTACCTTGAAGACTCAAAGGTACCAGGTTCGATTCCAGTCAAGGGCACATGCCCAGATTGTGAGCTCGGTTCCCAGTAGGGGGCGTGCAGGAGGCAACCAATCAATGATTCTCTCTCATCATTGATGTTTCTATCTTTCTTTTCCTCTCTGAAATCAATAAAAATATTTTTTTTAAAAAAAGAATGTCCATTAATTCTCAGTTCAAATTTGTCTGATGTTTTCTTTAAGATAATATTTAGGTTAAGAATTTTTTTAGAACACTACCATTGTCGGTTTGTATCCTCCAAAAAAGATACGTCAAGTCCTAATCCCTGAAGAGATGTGAACTGGTTCTTATGAGCCTTTGCTATGGGCTCCAACATACGCCTCAACCGCTACAGTTTTCACAGGGGCATCTCCCAAACACTGTGCAGCTTTATTTAAATGTTCTAAGGGCAGCACTTTTAGAGATTCCACTAGATCCGAGGTGTAGCTAGAACATGTCTACTCAAAACAAAATAAAACAAACACACTTTCCCCACAAAACAGACTTTTAGGTTTTAAAAATTAAATATAAATTTGTTTTTCAATGCTGATGTAAAAATTTTCTGAAACTTTCATATTTGTTTTTCCATCTGATTAAAGACAGTATATTAAACTTAATTTGGAAAAAAAAAAAATGATGACTTAACCTGGGAGTCATGTGTCGTTTTTTGAATATGGTTTTTTGCACAGAAAGTTTTTTTTAAATCTCTGTGTCATACCAAATAAATTATTCTTTCATTTGTAGAGGGGTAGATGCAAATAGATAGCATACCGAGGACTGTGGTTTACACAGGTTGATCTCAAGGTAGTTGACTTAAGTTTCATTGCCCTGTTCTCAGGGTTCATAGGTTTTCAAGGAGCATAGCCTCTTGAATCCACAGCCATGTTGTTAGTTTATTTGACAAAGGGCTTACAAAATGTACTTACAGACAACTTCAAAGCAATGCAGAGCAAACTGACTCTTCTAAGAAATGTTGTGCTATCCTCTTCAGAGTTAAAGTGCCATCTACTGGCTTGCTCATTGCACGCATCCTTGGTAGCTCTAGGTAATGGGAAGGACATTGGCTTCACCGATATTCAGGTTACTGGTAAGTCCTGCTGGGCACATATTAATGTGACACTAGAGGGTCCAATTTGCCAAGTGCGTGATAGATTTTGAGATCACAAATATGCACACAATAACTTTCTCCAATCCCTCACATTTTAGGAGCTTATAGACTATAAAGAAAACAAATTAGAAAAAAAAATCTGTACCAACAAATGACTGGTATTATCTTTGAGAATTTGACTCTGAAAAGCCCTGTGTCCCAGTAATCCATGCGGCTATTTGGAAAAAGACCTATTTGAAGGGCTAAGGAAAGAAGCTTCTTTCAAGTGGTTCAGCTAGAACTTAGGCATGCCTAAGTGTTCCTAGCATTGTCTCCATAAGAATGAGACAAATTCAAAGTTCCTGAACAGCTGATCAATTCTTTACTTAAATTGATGTTGAATAGTCCCCATTTGTGTCCAATGTGTAAAATAACATACAGAAAATGTTCAACTTTCTTCCTCATTAGAAGGTTCCACTTCTAAGAAATAAAGTCCACAGAGCCAGTGGGAGGAATGCAGACAAGAAATTAGAGAAACAGGGACTTAAAAGATTCTGACCATGTCCAGGGTGGGCATAATTTGGGGGACCTCTCACTTGATGAGTGCAATGACAACAGAGGATTTTTCAAAGTGTGCCCATTCTGTATTTTGACCATATAGTGACCATAATCTGAAGTTTACTCTTTACTCCATAATTTAAAGTATTTATTTAGTTCTTCTAAAACATAGCATCTATGTTGTTGAATATGGTAACCGCCAGACACAAAAGTCTACTTAAATTTAAATTAAATTCATTAAAATGAACTAAAGTTAAACAATTCAGTTCCTCTGTTGAGTTAGCCACATTTCAAATCATCTCTGATCACCTGTGGATAGAACATGTGACCATATCAAATTGGGCAATGCAGATTTATGGTACATTTGTCATTACAGGAAGATTTCTAGGACAGCTTTGTCATCTAGACAGTTATCATGCCCCTGGAGTGTGTCAATCTACACTGGGAAGCATGACAAGGACCAAGCTATGTAGCATCTGATGACAAGTCTCCTCTTATGTCTGAAAGGCTTTGCTGGGTGAAAAGGTAACAGATTATTATTTGCTCCTAGCCTCCCTATCTGTAGGGTTCCCAACTGTCTTCCAGACAATATACCAGTCTTTGGGCTAAAAATTTAAGACCAGAGAACTAGTTCAGCCTCTTTCTATTCTTCTACCCTTTACCATTCTTCCACCTTTACCATGTTGAATTTGAGTTATGTATTACAAAGAGCTTTTCCTTCTACAGTCCTATTTGGTCCTCTTGTAAACTGGAATGGTGCAAGTACCCAGTAAATGCTAGCTAATTCTAATTCTAAAAGAATCAACTTTTGGATGACTCCAAATCAGGAATGAGTTCAATATAATGGTTACTCTTGCCTCACCATGGCTTTTGAGTCACTAGTTACATGAAAAAGAAACTGAGAATTTAGGGCTGCCAATTTCCTCAATTCACTCCAATGAACATTAATATTCTGAGTAACAACTATGAGTGGGCCTTTTATATGTTATTTACTTAAAGCTAAAACTAGAGCTATTATGCATGGGATCCTTCAGGGGAAGCAGAGTTAATTTCAAAAGCACTGTGGACAGTGTAGCAATAAACAATGCTTGGCCCTAGCCCATTTAGCTCAGTGGATAGAGCCCCTGGACTGAATGGTCCCCATTTTGATTCCATGCAAGGGCACATGCCTAGGTTGTAGGCTCCATCCCCAGTGTGAGGTGTTTCTATCTATTTCTCTCTCTCCCTTAAGATATGAAATCAATAAAAAAAAATTTTTTTTAACCAATGCTTAGAGAGAGCACACAGACAAGCACTTTGGTAACAGCTTACCTTCAGTCTGGCTTTCAACCCAAGAGTTGATCTCCTTTCTGATTTGGTCAGAAGCTCCCAAAAAGTTCACAGGCTGTGGCTCTGCACCAAAGTATGCTTTCATGTCTTCTAAATATTTCTGAAAGATACAGGTAAAATTTCCTTTTGTAGGGTTTTCCCAAAACTGAGAAATCAAGTCTATTTAGGTTATCACTCACACTGCTCCCTTCTTTCTTTTCCACTCCTGTATTGGTCAAAGACTACACTCCTCTTCTTTAAATTTTGCTGGGCACTGACTAGCCTTGCAAAACTTCAGGTATAGAGGAAGGTCTGCCACATACAGCTCTGACATTACAGCTTGAAATCTCAAGATAGGTTTATTGACTCTATTGCTATCCCTCCACCTTGCCAAATGTCCTTCCTCTTTGCCCACTGGACACCTCTATTCTCCTGCTCCTTTCTAAAATGTGCCAAAGATATAATGAACAAATATGAGATAAGTAAATGTTTGTCCTGGCTTCTGGGTAGATCCCTCTGAAAAGCCCTTGAGTCTGAACTAAGGATGAAGTCGTGGCCTGCTCCATGGGATTCCAAGCACTCAAGAAGGGGCAAAGTTGATATTATCTCATGTTAAGAATCTTCCAAAATCTCTGAACTCATGATGGAAAATGACTTGTCTGATTCCAATGTCAGCTTTGCTCTCCATTACACACTTTCCAGGCATATTTCTGTGGCCAACATTGCCCTCTGCTCCTTCAGATTTACCCTATGTTCATACTCTACAGATTTTATTCCATTTCCCATGAAACAAATTCTGACACACAGATTATATAAATCACATTTATATATTACTACTTTGAATAAAGATCTGATAAGTAGATCTGATTTGAGACCTATTATTGGTTTTCTTTACAAGTAGACACTTATTGACTGGTCTACATGATTGTTTACCAGAAATGCTGACCACCTTAAAATTGTCCCTGGGATCCCTAAAGAAATGTACAGAATTCATCGATTGAACTCACATAGCTCTTTTTTTTCTCATCAGCTTTAAATAACATATTTGCACTTACATTGAGAAATGGGTATGTTTTTTCTGCATATATCCCATTGGCTGTTTTAAGTATATAGGCATTACTGGGATTGTTGATTTCAGAGATGAGTGTCTGGAAATTGGAGTGTATTTCTTCAACCTTCCCCAAGGTGAAGTCCTTTAAAAGAAAAGGGATTAGTCAAATAAAAACAAAGAACAAGAATTGTATATATAAGAACAAACAACAACTAAATGAAATAATTTGGTGTATTGTGGACAAAAAGATGAAATTAATTATAAAATAGATAATATTTTCTCTAATGTTATCAGGGCAAAAACATAAAAATGATTGAGGGCATAAGTTATTTTGCAAAAGCAGAAATAATTTTGAAAGTAGAACAGTTTTGAAAGAGAAGCAAAAGAGGAGAAGAGATAAGGTTAAAAAAGATAACCCTTCCAAAGAGTGTAGACATTTTGTATTATGAAAAAAAATTTAACGTATGTTTCTAAGAATATTTACCCAGTAAAGTTTGATTAAATTAGCCATTATCATGCAGGTGCTAAAAGTGGTCTCCCCCTTATCAGCAAATGGATATTAAAAAACAAAATATACCGTTTTCCTTTTCTTTTCACCTTCAGGATAAGATTTGTTGTCCTGATCTCTGTTAAATTGAAGCACCTGTAATTTCAATAAAAAGACAGTATGTGAGTGCACTTTGCAGAGAAATAATCAAACGGATCTTGATAAATACGTTGCCACAGAACATATAATTAATAAACCAAGGGGGTTCTGATTTGATTGAACAGTAGTCAGCTGAACTAGATAGTATAGTAAGTCAAGAGTTGCTTTTAGCCCTTCCAGCATAGCTCAGTGGTTGAGTGTGGACCTATGAACCAGGAGGTCACAGTTCAATTCCCAGTCAGGGCACATGCCCAGGTTGTGAGCTCAATCCCCAGCATGGAGCATGAAGAGGCAGCTGATCAATGATTCTCTGTCATTACTGATGTTTCTATCTCTCTCTTCATCTTCCTTCCTCTCTAAAACCAATAATTATTTTTTAAAAAGAGTTGCTTTTAAATAAATTTTTTTAAAGTCTAATTTCAGTTGCTCTTTATTTTAATATTTATATAGGACATTTAGGATGATGTTGGAAATTCCCATAGAGGTAAAGTTCTCTTGTTTTCCAAGTTTCCTTTTTATGTATGGTTGCTTTGAAAAGAAGGCTAGGTGTTCCATTGAGTCCAATTAGCAATTTAAACAAAAGTCACCACACGATTATCTGGAAAATGCAGGGGTTTTAATTGTTGTTTTTCCAAGGACAGTGCTTTTGTTCCCATTGTCTATCACAGTGTTTTTCAACCTTTTTTGGGCAAAGGCACACTTGTTTCATGAAAAAAATCACGAGGCACACCACCATTAGAAAATGTTAAAAAATTTAACTCTGTGCCTATATTGACTATATATAAAGTAATTCTCTTGAATAGGAATCAAATAAACACAAAGAAAGTATTTTATAATTACTTTATTATGAAATATTAAGTAAACAAAATAGTGAAAAATTATAAAATTCTTGTCTTGTCTGCACCTACGGCACACCAGGCAACATCTCGCGGCACACTAGTGTGCCGCGGAACAGCGGTTGAAAAACGTTGGTCTATCACCTGTTGACATATGGATGCATTCTTTATTTACACCCCAGAGTTTTATTTGCAGGTTAATAGGAAGGATGTGGGCACCCTTGTTTCCCCTGAATTGTACAACTGTAAAAAAACAAGGCGATAAGTCCATCTCCTACATCCTGACCCAGCTCACAATGAGGAACAAAGTCTGACCAAAGCTCCTGCTGTCGCACAGTAACAGCACAGGGACCATTTGCCATAGAGAAAAGGGGTGCAAACTAAAGCTGTTAAAGTTTAAATGGATATGAAATAACACAAGGGCAATATATTTATATGAAACAGACCCAAAGTGAAATTCGGTTAAACCTCTGATAATTAATTATTGACCACGATTCTGGTTGTTGCTGTTTTAAACCACATGTATCTTGTGAACTACAAGAATAAAGTTGATAGCCTAAACCTAAACTCACAGAATATATATTCTGCCCATCTTACCCAGAATTACGGGCTGTACCCATGTCCATGCTTGGCACAGAAGACACCTTTTTGGGTGAAAATTCTGTAATTTGGTCTTTCCATTGTATGATTTAGGGCTGAATTTATTCTTTTTTGTTTATTTTTATTTAAAATGCACACACATATATGTATAAGTTTACATATGCATGCATACACATGTATGTGGCGATTTTATTGTGTTATTTATCTATGCATACACATACACACATACATACATACACTATGTTTTGAAGATGCTTATACCAAATCAGTAATTTGTTTTGCATTTTCATGCTCCAAATAGGCTTTTTAGATTAATCAAGACAAATAGGGATTGAAAAAAGAAACGACCAAGGTACGAAGGACAGAATTCACTTGACTTTTCTATTTGTGTTTTCAAGAAAATCCTTCTGAAATTCGAAACATACTAATTCTACTATTTAATGTGTGAACCATTACTTCTTGAAATGTCTTGATAATCCAAATAAAATAATTCTTGGTGTTGAACCAAACTTGATAAACTCATCATCTCTGTGTATGATTTTGCTAGAGAACACAGGTTCTTAAATGGTTTTCCTAGAAAATCAACTTCCTTTCCCAGAATTCTTTTATGGTCTATATAACTTTTAAAAATATATTTTTATTTATTTCAGAGAGGAAGAGAGGGAGAGAGGGAGAGAGAGAGAAAGAACATGATCAGGTGCCTCCTGCATGCCCTGCCCTGGGAACCAAGCCCCACAACCCCAGGCATATGCTCTGACAAAAAATCGAACTTTGATCTTCTGACTCCTAGGTCAATGCTCAACCACTGAACCATGCCAGCTAGGCTAGAAAACTTTTTAAAGTGCATCTTTTGTTTTGGAGGCTATGGTTATAAAATGTGATCTATCTGGAATTTAGGAGAAAAATGAAGATAAAAGGTAAATAAAACATTTTGTTTTAAGGCAAGAGAGGGTGACTGAGCTTTGCTACTCACCTGGGCTATTTGGGATGCTGTGGTACATCTGGTGCCCAAATACACCATGGCTAAGGAGGTTGAGATGCCCCAAGGAGAAAAGAAAATATTTTTACCCTCAGCAGATTCAGCTAGCTTTTTGCTAAATTCCAGGGCAAATTGATTGATTGATTTTGTTAGAGAATCCATTGGGAAAATCTAAAAAAAAAAAAAAAAAAAGCAGAGAGAGACCATGTTAATAATCTTAATAATTCTTTTCATCCATTTTATTTTTATAAAACAATTTGTTGGGTTATATGTTACTTTTTTACTCTACTTCAGTGAAATGACACAAATATATATTATCTAATTTGTATTCATAAGACCTTAATGGACTTATAGACATTAAAAACATATTAGTCCAACATTATTATTTTACATATTGGAAAACTGAAGTCCAAGGTGTTTAAGAAAATTGTCTCAAATTGCAGTGCTGATGTATTGTACATCAGAGAACAGTTCTGGTGTGTCAGCAGCTCCTTGATGAGACAGTCACAATAAAAGTGGCAATGGAACCAGGTCCCCCTCTCAGCCAGTGCCTCTTTTCATTATACAGTATAATACTACACTACTACTGACTCTGCACAGAAAATGAGGAATATAGATGCAGCTCTTCAAAATTGTACTTTTTCTCACCCACTTTCACCCATATTTTTATTTATTAACCTTACTTAACACTTTATATATATTATTCCTGTTTCCTAGAATGCCTTTTTTCCTCCTTTATTCCATTGAAATCCAAACTCTGTACAAGTACTCCTTTTCCCTGAAAGCTTTACTTGACCTTTGGGGTGAACAGAAGCATGTCTGCCACCAGGTTTCATAACATAGCTCTAGCCATGTACTTGGCATTTGTCACACTGCTAGTTCTATTTCTGTCTTTCCAACTCCAGGGTAAGTTCCTCCAGAGAGAATTTTTCTTATGCTACTTCATACATCCCACAGCTAGTAATCGCACTTTGTACAAAATGGATTCATAGAAATACTTTGTTTATCATGTTCATTGTTGGGTTCTAGCTACCCTTTTATTTATTTATTTTTTTTAGCTACTTAAACTTGAAATCATGCACAATTTAATGGGAAATAGAGAAGTAGAGAAGTAGAGAAGTAGAGAAAGTAGAGAAACTAAGATTTTTTTTATTTTTTTATTTTATTTTATTTTATTTATTTATTTAATTTAATCCCCCCTCCCCCCCCCCTCTTTATTCTCATTGACTCATGACCTTCTGAAACTGGTCTTCTTAAACAAAGGAACTCAGGATTTCTCTCTCTCTCCCCCTTTGATATTATATTCAACTTCTAAATATCACTTTTAATTACTCTAACATTTAAATTTAAGTCTTTTCTAACCGGGTCTGTATTTTTAAAAATAGCAGTTTAATTTACTGTCTCTTTATAGTCAAATAATTTCTCAACCTTGTTAAATGACTAGAAATAAATCAAATACCTGAGCGTGGAACCTCCTAAAATATTACCTAGAACTGAGTCTTCCACTGATACTACCTGACACTTGAAGGAAACTAGAATGAGAACCTGAGAAAAGCCAGTTCTCTCTAGTCAAATAGTTGAATCAAGGGAGAGGCATGTGTAGGCAAAGCCTTGGTTTCATCACATCTAGGATTAAGTGATACCATTGAAATTACTTCTAGCTACAGTCTTGTACTTAACAAAATATCTTCTCAGCCTTTAACTCATGTCCTAGTTCCATTTCCTACATATTCCAGAGGCTGATGCTAATCATAGGCTGACATTATTGATTAAAGGGAAAAACAAGTTTAGATTTATAGTAATGCTACACCTTCATAAGACATTAGAAATTTTCCTGTGAGTATTTTGTTTCTTATCAGATTCAATGTTATCTTGGAAATAACTTCTATCTTTCCTTTAGGATGATATTTATTCAGATAATGCTTTCTTTGCTGCCTATATATTACTTTATCTTTTTAGAACTCATGCATTACATTTATATGAAAAATGTTTAACCAAATCATACTCACCATGAAGGTAGAAGAGAAAATATTATCTTAGGTCTGGGATTTTTATCTTTTTAACTAATTATTCTAGAATTTAGTGTCTTACAACAAATTCCTACAAACAATAATTCTTTCCAATGAAAGAGCTAATTTCTTGTGGAAAGCTAATATTCAGTTATCTCCCACTTCATGAATTCTCCCATTAATATCATTATTAATATATCAGATGTAGCCCATATATGTTAGCTCATATACAATAGAAAAATATTTTTTTCACAGAAATTTACAGAAGTGCTAAGCCAGTCATTAGTAAAGTTTAACCCAACAGTGGAAAGTGTTTTCTGAAGAATGTGAAATTTCATGATGCAATTTTACAGGAAACAGTTTGTCCATATAAAGGTTGTACTGTTTTTTTATTTTTTTTTAGAGAAGACTATAAATCTCTAAATCAAAAGCCTAGTGTGCCTTTTTCAGAATGAAATGCTCTTTTGCTCAATTTGTAAAGGAGCTTAGAGGATAATCTAGAGAACTATGAAAATAAGAAAATGATTATGTCTTTCATCAAAATGTCTCATTGTAAATACACATACTCTTGCATATCAGAATTGGGAAGAATTTCAGAATCCCTCTAATTCAATTATCTCATTTTATCAGCTAGGAAACTAAGGCCCAGAGTGGTTAAATGGGCTGAACAGCAGGTACAGCTATCTCATAGGAGAGTTATCACTGAAATCCCATTTTCTGGCTTCTGAATACACTTGCTTTTGTCATTGTATTTTATTGTCGCTAAGATTTTAATAGTAAATCAAGGAATCAGGTTATGAAAGAAGATAGACAAAAGGAGGGTAAAAAGAGGAATGATGAGGAGGAAGATGGCATGGGAAGGAGTCCCATGCCCTTTTTCACAAGAGGAGGTCAAAAGTCCCTTGACTTCCTCATGATCCTGACGATGGTTTCATCTACTTCATGGAATTGAGTGTATCAGAAGATGACATCTCTTCACCACCCAGCACATCTATGTCCACCCAATGCTGTTTTCCCAAGGAAGTAATAGCTTGGGGTGTTTTATGAGCACCTACTATAAGGTTGGGAGTTGGGGAGGGATTTATATTATTTGATGAAAGAGAAGAAAGTTAATGGCTCATGGTATGGTGGCCAAGACAGGAGTGTAGAGAGTCAAGCCATTAGTCCCACATATTAATAGACTAAGATCAAATTCATGTTGCCAAGTGAATGATTTGGGCTCAATTATTCTGAGAAGGTTCTATTTCTCTGCCTAGGATGATAGATACAGAAGTAGCAAATCCAGAAATGTGACTGAAAATAAACAAACAAACAAAAACACAAAAAAACAAAACTCCATTCATATGATAGTTTCACAATCCTGAAAAAACTATTTTTCTAGCTTTCTTTGAAAAATGAATGCTCTCTCCCCCTTAGCCGTCTTTCCAGTTTGGGATTAAATCTCTCTGATTTGCACAGAATTCCAGCTAAATGGAGCTCTGTTTACTATTTCTGCTTCTGGGGCTCTTGATCATTTGTTATTGAGCTAGGCACTTCAACAAAGAAGGAAAACATAAATAAGCATTTTTAAACAAAGAAGTATTTACAATACCTTGTTTTCTTCCCCTGGAGCAGAAGTGGAAATTTGTTCCTAAAGTAAGAAATTGTGGCTGAGTTAAGTAACTTTTAACTGTAGGAACTTAAAAAAAAAAAAATGGTTACACCTCCCTCTTCTTAGCCCCACCCTTTTGATTCACTTTCATAAGCCCTTACACTCTTCCTTTCAGGTTCATCATGGCTAGAAGCTCAAATCAAAAGACAGAGAAACTGATGAGCAAGGTTTTGCCTGCATTCTTTAATTACTCACATTTTCCATGTCTGTCCACATGTGGAGACCTGAATTCTGACAAACTGTAACTCACAGTTTCCTTACTTTACTTAATCTCTTCTCTAATCTGCCAAATGGAAGTAATTAGAGTGCTTCTTCTTAAGAAAAGGAAGAAAGAAAGAAAGAAAGAAAGAAAGAAAGAAAGAAAGAAAGAAAGAAAGAAAGAAAGAAAGAAAGAAAGAAAGAAAGAAAGCATCAAATTAGTGGGATATCAATGGACAACAAAATGGAAATGTAACTGGTGAAGTATTTACTGTGAAAGCACCTCTTCCCACTTACATTGGTGTAGAAAACCGAGAATAACTATGATGAGTGGGATGTCCATCTCCGTGCCCCAGGCACAAGGGGACTGGATCAGTTACTTAGTCTGGTGTTGCTTCATCAGTTTCTAGTTCTTTTTTGTTTCTCCTTATAAATGTCCCCCTCACTTCTCCACCATATTTATTGGAAACAATAGGCTACAGTTTTGTTTTCTATCACAGCTGCATAGCTTGGGGGAATGCAGGAGACAGTGAAGGGAGCGGTGGGAATGGAGGAACAATCCAAAAGGGATGAAAGGAAAGGAGGAGCTTATTTATAACAGACTTGGCACATTTTCCTGCATGCGGTTTTTATTTTTCCCTGCCTAGGGGCACACATACCTTCTGGTAAACTGGCTCAGAGTTTGGTATTTGAAGGCTGGTGTGGAACCGAGAGCAGAATGTTCCTCTGTATTTCACTAGGGAGTGTGAGTTGTGGTAGGAAGTTCTGTGATGCCTGCCTGCCGTGTGCTGAGCAGATATTATTATCCATGGATGCCTCCAGACTACTCGTAGCTGCAAGTATCATATGGAGGCCCGAGATAGAGGGACTGTCCATCGTGATAGACAGTAGCCCACCAGTGAGCGACTGGCGCTGCCTCTCGGTACAGCATGAAGACACTTCAGTTTTAACCCGTTAAATGTATCAAAGTAGATGTGGCTAAAACAGCCAAGAAATTGTTCCATCTCTTTAAAGTCACAGGCTAAGTTTTACTTATTTTCTCCAAAACCTTCACCAGATTCCTTTCTCACCCTTTGACTAAAATTCTTACAAATAGATTACCTACATTAAAAAAACAACATGGTTGTGCACTATTCTGATGCCTGTTTAGAGGGTGGGAGAAGTATTAGTATCCTAAGTTAACAATGTAATATTATTTGCATGATTTTATTAGTTTATTGTTCTTATTTATGGCCTGCCCTTTATTTAGCAATGTGCACAGATTATTAGGGGGATGGAGGAAGAGGATCTAATTGAATAAGGAAGGGGGAGTGGGAGGGAGAGTTTTTGTTCTAGTCTTTTTACAATATATTTGATTTTTAGACAACATAAATTCGTTCATTATACCAAAAACTAAAAATAAAATAAAGAAAAGAAAAGAAGCAAAAGAACTCCAAGTAAATCAATATTATTCTAATAGGAGTCCAGAAAAAGAAAGTAGATGGAGGGGGGCAGAGACAATTGAGGGGTTAATAGCTGTCTTATTCAGTTTGCGTTGCTATAACAGAATACCATTGACTGGAAGGCTTAAACAAGAGTTTCTCTGACTGTTCTGGAGCCTGGAGATCAGGGCACTGGTATGGTTGAGTTCTTGGTGAGGGCTATCTTCTTGGGTCACAGATAGCTGTCTCCTCTCCGTATCCTCACCTGGTGGAGACAGCAAGCTCTGTTCTCTTCATCTCCTTATAAGGGTACCAATTACATCATAAGGACTTCACCCTCATGACCTAACCTAACCCTAACTCCCAAATGCCCTACCTTACATTGAGAGTTAGAGTTTCCACATAGTATGGGGGTGGGGAGGACACAAACATTCAGATCATAGCAATGACTGAGAGTTTGCCAGAACTGAAGGAAGATACAAGTTTCCAAAAGGAATAAAGCTGCTGATGAACAAGATTAATTTTTATTTTTTTAAATATATTTTATTGAGTTTTCACAGAGATGAAGAGAGTGGGATAGAGAGTTAGAAACATGGATGAGGGAGAATCATCAATCAGCTGCCTCTTGCACACCCCCTACTGGGAATGTGCCTGCAACCAAGGTACATGCCCTTGACCAGAATCAAACCTGGGACCTTTCAGTCCGCAGGCCGGTGCTCTATCCACTGAGCCAAACCGGTTTCGGCCAAGATTAATTTTTAAAACCCATTTTACAAAGTACTCAATGCAGCAAAATTTCAAGAGCATTGCCAAGAACAAAAAGAAAATTACTAGAAATACAAGAAGTAAGGATGATCTTGACCTCAACTTTCCCATCAGCAACTTCAGTGCCAGAAAATAATAAAATTATACCCTAAAGTACTGAAAAGTGTTTTGAACTTAGAATTCCACACTCAGACCCTAATTCAATAATGACTGTGCAATATGGCTATCTTAAGACTCACAACGTATTGCCTTGCTGAATGAATTATGAAAGTACATAGACAAATGAATCTAAAAGTAAATGAGAGAATGCACAAAGTAAGAACCTCTAATTTTCAAGAATGTCTTAGAGAAAATAAACCACAATTCAAGCCTTAAAAATTATTTAAGTGAATAATTTTCTGCGATTCTGTTTGATCATCTGACAGTAAGTAAATAAAACCAGAGACAGTTTATTACTTACAAAGATAATAATCATAATCACTAGTATTTTTAAATACTGTATGAGCCAAAAATTATTTTAATTGCTTATTATGCATGAATTCATTTAACCATCATAGCAACCTTATAAGAAAATTATTTTCTATAGTTTACACTGAAAGAAAAGAAGCATAACAAAACACCATTCGCCATCCATGGTTAGAGAACTCAAAAGTGTTAGAACTGGGATTTAGCTGCATATAGTCAGTCCTGAAGTGGCCTATCTAGCCACCATGCTCCATGGGTCATCCACACCTGCCTTCCTTCCATCAAATGTACCTGGGGTACATTTCCAGCATCCAGTCACACTTCTATAAGCAGACTCTCAAGCCAGTTCGAACTCCCTAAACTTTAGGTGTCTTAGTTTCTAGGTCTTAAATTATGTTAAATTCTACCTCTGACCCACTCAAAAGTATTGAGTGCTATTTGGAACAAACACCATTAAAAGAAGCTCTCCTGACTGGTGTGACTTAGTGGTTGAGCATTAACCTATGAACCACAAAGTCACAGTCCAATTTTCAGTTAGGCAATAAACCCAGGTTGCAGGCCCAATCCCCAATGTGGGGCAATCCCCAGTGTGGGGTGTGCAGGAGGAAGCTGATCAGATTTTCTCTCTCAGCATTGATGTGTCTATCTCTCTCTCCCTCTCCCTTCCTCTCTGAAATCAATAAAAATATTTTTTAAAGAAAGTCTCTTATATTTCTACTACTGCTCTGCCACCAACCCATCATAACTCCTTTGAATTATCAGATCAATAACTGTGACCTTGATTCTATGTATGAACCACTGGATTTGGCATTTATTCTCGATTTTTTGAGGTTTAAACACCAGTGTCCAAAGAATGCTGACTATTCCTCTGAATTGCTATACCTTTTGCTGCCTTGAAAAGGCAGCCCTAAACCATTTTTCACACAACTACATTCAATCCCAAGAGTGGGGCTCTGTGTAAAAGTGGTGGTTATCTCTTTGGTTCCTTTATTCTGTCTTGGGAATCAAACTATAACAAGTCTTATGATCCAAAGATCTAATAAAATAGCAACAAGCAAATGATTGTGTGGAAACATATTTATTTATTGTGTATTTGTAATCTTACATCATTGACAGTCACATCTATATGATATATAATGTTACAAATGTACATAACATATATTTGCTTGTTGTTCAATGCAATCTTCTAGGTTTTCATCATAGAAGGAGATGGAAAGACACCTACTCATCCTTCCTCACAAAAACAATAAATGTACTTCCTTAGAAAGAAACATAACTGATCACCTGTTTTCTGTATCAGCTACATTAAATAGACAGCTAACAATAATAAAATTATATAAAATAATAAATAATACAATAAAACTTATTGCTATAAAATAAACAAAGAATAAGAGAGAACTAAATTCAACATCATCCCATTTTAGGAAACCAATTAATAGGGTTGCAATGTTACGATTGACAGTTGTCTGGTTAGTTCTGTATTTATATTTAGTGTGTAGTAGAAATTGTTTAGAAACACATAGAAAAAGTCCCTACATTTTTGGTAATTACAGCAATTCTGAGGCTTATACCTCATGCTACAAAATTCTGTACTGAAACAGAAACTTCCACTTTTAGGGTGAGACAAATCTGCCAAAAAAGAGAATAGTTTTAGCTGTTTTGTGCATTATAAAGAAGAGGAAAGGATGATCGGCCACAAACTGTGGGCCTCCATGGCCGGTTCTCCCTGACATGATAGCCCCGGTTCCAGCAGATGCTTCAGTGCCCTCCTCATTGACATCCACAGTGGCTTGGTGAAACACTTCAGAGAGAAACAGTTCCTCTCCTTCTGACATTCCTAAGAAGTTGGCCTGGCCCTTGACGAAGGCGTCATTCATGCCCATGCTTCTCAGAATGGGTTTGAGTTCATAGCGCTCTTCTAATTTGAACTGGGGGATATACACCTCAACATCATCTTCTGCCATTGTGTCTTTGCTGATCCACTTGTTGAGATTGTCATATGTTAGCTCACGTTCCAGCTACAAATCCAAAAATTAAAAACAAAAACGCAGTGAGTGCTTAGAAAAGAAAGGAAAACAACTTCTAAGTGTAATGTTAAAAATCAGTGACTTTAACGTTACTATTGTACAATGTGAGTGATATAAAAGTTTAATAGACAGGTAAAGTTTTTGCAAGAAGGTAATAGGTAATAGGTAATAGGTAATAGGTAATAGGTATTGACATAAAATGAATGAAAGTTGAGACAAGCCACACTTGCTATCAACCAATTCACATATTCATGAAAAAAAATTGCACATAATTTTCTAAGCGTATACATGTTCATCATAAAAAGCAAGTTTAGTTCCAGAAGTCTAAAACACCTAAAGTTGGAATGGCTTACCAACTCTAAGCCAGTAGACACATTAGCAATTCCATCTGGAAGCAATATGAACATGCTGACATCTCCAGCATATGGCAGTTCTAGAATCTGAACCTTTAGGTCTTCTATGTATCCAATGTTCAGTTTTTCATGCAAGTACATCATCTGTACAGATTTACGCTGAGTCTAAAGTTATTAAAGAATAAAATATGAATGTTAATACTAATGCATCAAGAGATTTACAATTTAACATAAAAGAGAATGGGTTCTGCTTTAGTATTTAAAAATATATTTTTAAATCAACAAAATAAATTGCCTGCATACAATATTCTAATTGTATTACCTTTTTCAAGACTACACCCATTATGGACAATAATAATAATACTAAAACATTTGTTTAGTACCTATCATAGTCCAAAAACTCTGCTAAACCTCATTGAATCTTTACAATAACCCTTGGAGTTTGATATTATTATTATCCAAGTTTTGCTGATTAGAAAATGGAATTCATGGAAGATAAGTGTTAGAGCCTACATTCGGGTCTAGGATTTAAGAATAAAGCCCATGGTTTTTCATCATTTCTCATATGGCCTCATAAAATTACTGAGTGGTATTCAGTAGCTCAAAAGAGTTAATCAACTATCCAATGTCCATAAGTTATAACTAGCACATCATGTAGTGCATTAACAAGTGGTCTATATTTTTTTCTTTCTCTGTCTTATCTAAGACCCTACAATATATGTTAGGAAAATCTGTCTTGTTGTCTCATACCGAGTTCACACGGAAAGGATAAAGTCCACTTAATTTCTTCTCAAATGGAGTTTTCCATTTTCCTTTGAAGTAGACAGCATTCACCAGGACCATCCTAGTGTCTGAATCTACAGAACCTTTGGGTAACAAGTTTGAAATTTGACCTACAAAGAAAAAAAGGAAAGAAATAAAAAGATGTCTGTTTAGGTCTCATGATCAAAAACTGTGAAATTGCTATAATTACTTGAATCTTTTGTGTTGTCATTTAACTCAGAAGACACATTTAGTAAACTCTACAGAGATATTGATCTTCAAGATCAAGTTTTCCTCTTGATTTATTTAAAGCATAAGTAAAAATTAGAGCAAATTCCTCAGAAGGTTTTCAAAATTCAAGGGAAAATGAAGAAGTAATGCATTTAAATTTTAGAATTACTATCAAATTTTCAGTGGATATTTTTACTTCCTTTTATTTTGTTTTCTCAAATTTTACAGTTGCATAAAGTTATTTAATTCCATTGGGAGTGAAATATAGTCTCTTAAGGAAGATAATAGTGTCTTTCAACATTATGTCACATAGTGCTCCTATTAGATCTGGTCTGACCCATTGATTCACTCAAGACAATTTTTTTTGGAAGTTTAGACTCTTCCTATACAAAGTGTAATGCAGATTCATGAGCTGAGCAAGGAGGAAATGTCCTGAATGTCCTGATGGAATGACATTCAAAGTAAGTTCTGAAAAAATGTGTGATAAATTATATAATAGAGCTAAATAATGCATAGTACTATGACAAAAAAAGAGCAGGAAATAACAGAGTGAGTTAGAGAAGGTTCTCAGAAATGAAAACATCTGAGCATGATAGTTTTTTTTTTAAAGTAGTTTAAGAAATAGCACATTATAGTGAATATTTCTCTGCATTATAAAAATATTATTTTATTTAATCCTCACAACTACTCTATTAGGTGAATATGAGTGCCATTTTACACAAAAGAACACCATTGTGTGAGATGTTAATAATCTTCTCAAGACTACAATATTAGTAAGCTAGTTAGGATTCTGTCTCCACTGTCCTCCACCCTCCAGTCCTACTGACAGAAAAAAGACTAACAAAAAGGTCACTGTATTCTGACCAGTTCAATATATCTGCTCAATATCTCCACTCAATATTCTCCAGGCAATTAAAATTCTTGATTTCCTTTGAAATCTACTAACGTTTTATTTAACTTTATGGTGCATGTGACAAAACTAGTGTTTGATCATAAGAAATAAAACAGAAAATTCTCTCAAATTATTATAAAATTTGGTAAAACAATCAGCCCCAATTTCTCCTTGGTATTTTAGCAATACAATTGATATTTATTTACAGCCTTTTGGCACAATGCTTAAAGAGAAAATTTATGCTTTTCTCAAAAGACATAACATTCAAGTGTCTTTAATTTTGCACTTCATTTTTACTTTCACTTCTTTAATCTTCACTTTTCCCATCCCTTTTATGGCAGCAGTTTGAACAGTGGTTTAAAAATCCAGAATGGAAATGGAGAAGTAATATAAATAGATCAACTACTTTCACAGAGACAAAAATATTTTAAATTCTATAACATTTAGTTCATGGGCTTTTTCCCCCCGTTATGGTAGCTAAGCAATCAAGACACAAAATTATTGTTGGAAATGATGTTTTAATCCAAGAATTTAAGAAAATCCTTTTTTTTCAGTCGTTTTTTGTCCTCAGTGGATGGAGTGCCACAAAAATTATTTCAATCCTGATGTTTTCTATATTTGAAAACATCTGCCATCTGTCATATTCTATTTTAATGTAATATCAAAAATCCAATTATTTGAGTATTAAACACGTCTTCTATTACTAGCCCTCAATTAAAACACTCACTAATCTAAATAAGAATAAGGTTGCATTAACCAAAATAACTAGGGTTGAATGAATTTTAAGGGATTAAGGACTAAATTCAAGAATGGTTTTAAAAAATAGATTCAATTTTCTAAGTGGAAAGAACAGAAAATGTTTCCTTGGTTTTACCTTTTGTTTGAGTCTCAACCCAGAAATTAATCTTTTTTCTGGCTCCTTCTGCACATTCTAAGAAGTCAACTTCCTGGGGTTCGGTAGAGTAATATTTCTTAGAGAGTCGGATGTATTCCTTTAAAGCAGAAAAGTGCAGGAGGTTACATAGAATATATGCTGAACAAGCCTTGGTGCAATTGTGAATTATGGGCTTCCTGTCAAGACTGGAGGGCCTGAGGTTGGGGTGCAGTGGGGGTAGAGATTGACTAAAAAAGAAAATGGTGCAGATTATAAGCACTTAGTGGACCTCCTTCCCCATACTCCAGTCCCAATACTATTTGTCCTCCCGCATTGTTCACATTATAGACAGCAAATAAGGAGGTGGACCTTGAAGATAGTGACTCTGGAAGTCCGTTGTGTTCATCCTGACTTCTCTACTTTCTCAGCAGGTAGAGAAGCACCAACAGGAAGAACACAGGGACACTGCTAAGGCCTTGGGGAGCCTTAGAGAGCCTTAGGGAGCCCTGTGCAATTCTGACTTTCCCTACAAGCATGAATCCTACAGAACAGCTTTAAAAGTGACCTCACGGCAGGTTTAGGCCCCTGCATTTCAACAACAGGCTGTACTTACCTCCCTGAATTGTGCAGTCTTCTCTCCAAACAGCTTATTGGCACTTTCCAATATGTAACCCCCCTTGGTCTCATTGATAGCAGAGATAAGAGCATGGAAGCCAGAATGGATTGTGTTTTCAGCTTGTACCTTGAACAGAAAGGACAGATCCTCTTTATATAATATAACATGGGACTGCTAAGTAAGATATTTCTTAATCAACGGTGTTTTTTCTATATAATAATAAAATAATGCATTAACATACACTTTTTCTGGCACTTAAGAGGAATATCTGAGCAAATACTTTGTATATGGATGTGATACAAAACATATAAGATAATGTTTTACTGTATGTTCCATTACTTTGCCCATAGATTGAATTTCACCATGAAATAAGCAACATCCTAGAAGAAAGTGGGGCTCCTTCTATAGTTTTGTAAACCTTAAAGTCTCTAAAGAATTTTTATATTAAAGTGTTACTTTACAAATGTTACTTTGCAAGAGATTATTTGATTTCGGGTGATGGACTCACAATGCAATATTCAGTCACGTGTCATAGAGCTTTACCTAAAGTTTGTAAACAGAATGATGGACATGTGGCTGACAGCTGTCTTCAGAGACCCAGCTGGATCTCTATAGTATCTGGGCCCTCTCCACCTCCTTTAGCCCACAATTCCCTCTGTAATAGCCAAAAAACTATGGGAGATACAGCCACATAATCTTTCTCAGGAGTGTAATTATGGAAGTTAGTTACCAATAGGAACACATCTGTGTCCATTCCTATAACTCAACCGGACAGCTGATAATTAAAGATTGGAGTACTGAAAAAATATCAGACTACCTGAGATAGATAGATGGATGGATGGATAGATAGATAGATAGATAGATAGATAGATAGATAGATAGATAGATAGATACAGGGGATATATAAAGGTCATTGGCTTCTTATGAACTCATTGAGCCTGACCTTCTTTATTCCTCAACTATTTGTCACTCCTTATCCTTTCTCCACTGGAAGTCTGCATTCATCATTGTGTATCCTAGGAGTCTCTCTAACATAGTTTTAGAATAAATTACACAAACCCAACTAGAGGCAGGGTGTTGTGACATAATTTAGAAAGTCTTGGCCTAGAAGTCAGGAAGTTTGGATTCTGCTCTGGCTCTGTCCTTTTTTTAGCAGTGAAACCTTAGCTAGAATAGTTACTTAAGGATTCTGAGTCTTTTTTTTTCTGGAAGTGGAAAGGTTCTGTACCAAGTTCCTTCTTAGTCTAATGTCATGACTTTAAGACAAATAGATTTTAGAAATAAAGTACAAAAGAAATATGAATGAATGAATCAGATACCTTCAAAATAGCATCAGGATAAGTGACCTGCATCTGCTGCATGAGCTCACAGCTGGTGTCATTCTCTGGGGTCATTGGGGTCACTTCAGGGACTCCAATACTGTTAAACTGAAGCACCTACAATTGAAATTAGAGGGAATAATTGCATTACATTTTCCTGATAAATTACTTAACTTTTAAACCATTGCCAACAGGTACCTCTTAGTGGCCTGATGTCTAGTTCCCTATCATTGTATATGGGATACAAGCACAGATACTTTTTATATGTAATATGTGTCAGTCAACTTAAATTTCCCTCACAGGAATCAGTATGATGTATTTTATACTAATATATGTACTACTCATTAGTCTCTAGGCTCTGAGACCTTCAATGCCTTCATTCATACACCTCATAAACTCTGGCAAAGCCACCATTTTAAACACAGATAAGTCTTATTCCCAAAGTTTGTGCTCCTTCCTCCAAACCAAAGAGCTTCTCCTCTTGCTTTAAGTAGGAAATTAACCAAATTTGCTTTTGAATTTTAAAACCTGTACTTACAGCAGAATAACAAAAAAATAATTTAAAATCTTGGCATAGTCCCATGTGCTTAAGCACTTTCCAGGTACAGAGAAACTGTCTTGTGCCCAGAGCAACCCATAAGCTAATTTTCTTTTGTTATCAAAATTAATGGCTTTATTTTAACAACTTAAAGTACTTTATTTACCATATGCCCTCAAAATATATTGCCTCAGAGTGCTAGTGATTTCTTTACTTTAAAAAAATTAAGACCCTGATGTGCTCTAAAGTTGTGCAGTTTACTGTTTTTATTTTTTCAAGGCAAAGAAAATAAAGGGGAAGGAGGGTTGCAAAATGTTGCTGGCATCAGAGTTGAGCAAATTGAGTTTTGTTGTAAGTCTTGATGTTTTAACTGCCACAAACATAGGCGGGATGCAGCTATATTCCTTTCCTCCTGCGAGGACATTGGCCAACACTCTCACCCTTCAAACAAGGTCCATTCTAAATGGGTCATCGTGTACTTGGGAAGGATATATACACACTCAGGTACAATTCTCATGGGAAACCCCAAAGCAGCCAGCGGCATTTTGGTGTGACTGAAAGCACAATATGTGCCTGTGAGAAACCAGAGCATTCAATGTTGATGTTCATGTACATGTGTGTGTAAAAGAATTTTAATTATAGGATGATCTCGTCTGTGTCACTGACCTAGAAGATAATAGGATCATGTGAATTCTCAATGTGTTGAATTCATCCCATAGGAATATTGCAATGTGCAATTGAAGTAGCCAATCTATTTTTAAGGCCCTAGACTCAGTAAAAGCGTCCCCTGGCTGAGCTTGTGTCCATTCGCTCAGGAAGGAAACCAGCTGCTGGACATCCTGTCCATCTTGATTTTGAAGACTGACCATCAGGCCAGCCCTCATTTTGCTGACATGATTTCACGGGGTTGATAACATGAGTCAACATTGCTCTCCTTGTGTCTCTAAGAGTGTAGTGACCACTGCTCTAGGACATTCTTTTCTTTTGTGACACTCCCTTAAAACTATTAGGAGTAATTAATTCCATTAATAAGCAACAAACAGAAAAGAGATATAAAGAATGCAGAACACTTTCAAACATTAGAATATTATAATGTAAGATGTTGTCAGTATTTATCACTTGCAGCCCTGCAATAGAAGAAACTCCTATATGCCTTCTGCTATCTACAGTCAGTGGTTCATGATTTGCCTATTTTGTAGATTTGAATCTAAGGAACTAATGTTGTAATAGCAGGTGATGATTGCTGACCTTGAGATTGTCAGGATATCGCAAGCCCATACTCAGAGCAATTCTACACTTTGGTTCAGGAATCATTCAGTTCTTATTTGGAGCTTCAACAGAAACTTACCTTTGCCATCTGGTCTGCAGTGTTGCCTTTGGCACCCAGGTAGACCATGACCATGGTGGATGAGATGCCCCATGGAGAGAAGAAGAGATTCTGGGTGGTGCTTGTATTTGCCAGATGCTTGAAGAAATTGATGGCAAAAATTGTGTTTGCCACATAAATGTCTTCCATTGTTTCAATCTAGAATGAAAGTGAGGAAGAAAACACAGCTCTAAAAAATGAGACAACATTTTGGGTGATGTCATCAGAGGTGTAGTACAGGCTGTACTCTGCACAGGGTAGGGGCTTCCTCTCTGTTCTGCCTTCATGAAACAATAAGAAGTAGAGCAGGGACAGCATTAGGGTCATGTGACCCATGCAGCCATATGGGCCCCAAGCTTCGTGCAAGACTGTGATGTTACCATCTTGAAATTCTCAATAAGTTTAAACAATAGGCTCTACATTTTCCTTTTGTGTTGGATGCTGCAAATTTTGCAGCCAATCCTGAGATGTAGTGAACAGTCTTAATGATGAATAGTGACACTTCATATAATAATAATAACAGCAATAACAATAAATTGCTCTTACTGAGTCTTACTATGAAAGAGAGTCTGTTCGAAATATTTTACCTGTACTAGCCATTTTGTACTTACTGAAATCCTACAAGGAAACTCTAATTCCTCTTTTAGGAAGGAAGATAAGAAAAGTAACCAATGTCGCCTGACTAGGAATTAAAGTCAGATGGGTGGCCTCCAGGGTCATGCTCTCAACCTTTATGATACACCTGCAAATACACACCACACACACAGGCACAACTGAGTTCATTATTGGGAGTACTGGAAAGGCTCCTTTCCTCTCATGTCTCATGCTAGCAACAAAGTCAATGCCATACACACTGTGTAACCTTATACAAGTTAATTAACCTCCCTGAGCATCAGGATGGAATCTATACTTTCAGTGAAGGTAGCACTGTAGGAATGATCCTAGATATCACACACACACACACACACACACACACACTCACCAGATCAACCATCTCTGCGAAAAATCAATAAAATATATTATAAAATAAAGAAAGAAAGAGAGAAAGAAAAATAACAGACACACCTTCTAGGACCAAAGCCTTCCCATGCAGCCAAATGCTTGGACACGCCCAGATGTGTGGGAGTATCTGTGGGTACTGGCCAATGGTCTTCTCTCTGACTGCATGTTATGCTTTCATAATGGCTTATAACACACCCTACAATTACCAAAATATATGTATGCTGAACAACACTGACACTCATTATTCCACAGGAAACCATCTTGTGGAAGTGGTTTCCCAGAGCTGGGGAGGAGCTGGGAGGCCCACAGGCTGAGGCATGCCCTGTGGCTCTCACCTAGGCTCACTCAGCAGGGCTTCCCAACCTGAGCCAGCACTCACTTCTCTGCCTCATCCATGGATGTCTTATGTGAACACTTGGGTCATGGATATTTCTTTTTAAGAAGGTGATTGCACTTTGTATCAACATTTCTCATTTGAAACACCACCTGATTGTATGTTATCGAGACAAAATAGTAAATTAAGTAAAACTTGTCTCTGAAACTCCCTCACCTCTTCTCATTTTATCTGATACTATGATCTTCATTGAGAGTATAGGTTCCATCTTGATGCTCAGAGGGGTTAATTAACTTGTATAAGGTCATACAGTATGTATGTAGGGATTCAAGCCTAGGTCTGTTTCAGAAACCCACTCTATCCAATGTGCCACACTGCCTCACCTGTTGCTGTTCAACTTCACTCTACAGTGTAAGAGTTTAGGCAAGGCCCTAGCCAGTTTGGCTCAGTGGAGAGAGCATCAGCCTGTGGACTGAAAGGTCCCAGGTTTGATTCCAGCCAAGGATATATGCCTGGGTTGTGGGTTCAATCCCCAGTAGGGGCATGCAGGAGGCAGCTGATCAATCATTCTCTCTCAGAGGCTGTACTATCACTCTCCCCTCCTCTCTAAAATCAATAAAAATATATTTTTTAAAAAGAGTTTAGGCAAGTTTCACACTTAAGAAATGCTAGAAAGAGGAAATAAAAAGAGGAAGTTTGTAAGTTTGTAATGCTCCTAGAAGGCTTTTTAAGTAAAAGGTAGTTACTATATTTTTTCTCTTGCTTCATCACTGAGATTAGATCTGAATGGCTCAGAAATGTGTTTCCTCTTCCGTTTTCTGATTTTAAAGTATCTTTATAATCTTACTAGGTAGATTTTTTTGGTAAAATATCTCAATATTTTGGAAATGAACTGATAATTAATTTTTAAAAAATTTCTTTAACCCATGTGAAAAGAAAAACAAATAAGTTGTCAAAACCAGAAAAGTAAATGTAGCCAATTTTTTATAAAAATGGACATAGTTGGTCACCTGGACACTAACAAAATTTAAATATCAAGAGAAACTATCAGAGAGAGCTATTAATACCAAGTTAGGATTTTAAGTGTGTGTGTGGGGGGGGAAAAGAGATAAGGACAAAATTAAACGATCCCCAATGCATTTACCTATTTTTAAAAAAATTAAAATTTTATTGTTAAAATAATGTACAATTAACTGCATTTAACATGAAAATTATATCTAATATCTACATTGCAGTTACCAAATTTCTTCAACTGAGTTGTTTTGTTTGATTTTCATAATTTTGTCCCCAGCAAAGCATAATAATTCCTGTTATACAGACGAAAATATGAAGATGTAGATTGCACAGCCAGTCAGTTTCGAAGCCTCAATTAAATCACAGCCTTCTGATTGCAAGATGGGGGCTTTTCCTACATAAGGCTTGAGAAGCTTATTGTTTTAGAAATCTCTGAAGGCATACATATACAGTGTCTGTGACCCTCAGACAACTCCATATTTTACATATGAGTGGGAATCTGCCTAAAACAATATAAATTAAAGTCACAAAGTGACATCAAATAGCACCATCTCCCAGAACAGGTAGCACCTGTTGTGAATTTCTTAACAAGAGTAAGTTATACAACTTCATTAGCTCCTAAGTGCTATGCTCATAATTCATGTTTACTATTATCCTTGAAAAGAAGGATGGAAAGCACATGCAGGGCGGGGCCCCATGATGTTTGTGGCAGTTCCTGCTACACAAGTTGACAAATGTGCCACTGAAACTTGGCACAGGCCATGAAGAACTCGGGAGGTGCCACGCTACCACAGAACCTCTTCATGTTGGCACTGGATATTAGATTTGAACTTGCTGGGGCATTTAAAACAAAAAATTTTGTGACTACACAATGCAAATAGTTTGAAATTGACCACAAAAATCCTCAAGAACAAAGAAAATAATAATTCCAAGGAAATTTCCTGTTCAAAAAAAGCAAATGCCCCCTCTCCCTGCCACACACACAAACAAAATAAAAAACAGTTTCTGGTATTTGATGACTTCCATAGTGAATAATTGCCTGTTTTCAGAGCACAAAATTATTTTTGCACTATTACTTCAGTGAATTCAACAACAAGTTTGGCAGATTTTTCCCTTTCACTAAATTGACCAAGTATGGAACTAAGTTCAATAGATATGTTCTGGTATTGATCTGACCTAACCCAGAAAGCTACTTAATTTCTGATTATTTTAGATTAAAAACTCAGTCATCTTTTAATTTTTTAAATATGTATGTACAATTGATAAATTACTTTCAATTGCTTAAGTGAATATACTTTAATTAACTTAGCTATTCTTATTAAATTCAGTGTCAAAACACTAGCTATTAAAGAATCTACATATTCTAACCTACTCAACAAAATTAACATCACAACTTTAGTGTATATTTTGGTTTACTAAATGTTACATAGGCATTTGCTGGCTTCTGAGATTCAAGATCAAGACACACACACACACACACACACACACACACACACACACACACACAACTATCATAGCCATGCTACAAAAGAGCTTCTGTTGCTGAATTCATTATTGGGAGTGCTGAATGGCTATAATATTTCAAATTTTGCACTAAAATATTTTCAGTTAAACAACTAAACAAGAAAGCACCACTAAATTTTTACTCATCCTTTGAAAACATCCCACATTTTAAATTTCATTATATTAGTAACACTAGAATGAGAGAAGAGAAACAATGAAACCAGAGTTCATAGAGATGGTCATGGAAATACCTTGCTATTCTCTGAGGTGCTGTCTGACAGGAAACGGTCCTCCAAGAGTTGTTAGAATTCAGACATGGTGATGACTGGTTTTATAAAGCATGGCCCCTCCCACAGAGCAATTTTTTTCTCTCTCTCTTTCTAATCAGTATCCTTTGAGTGATTCAACATTTTACTCAGAAAGAGCTTGTTTGCTAAGGCATCATTTCAGAAATTTGTTGGGAAGATGACGTCACACAGAGACTTATGAATTTGGCAATATCTACTCATGGCCTGTTAACATTAGCTAAAGCCTGTCAGCCTCAGTTTAAAGGGCCCTGCTCTATACCTGAATTTAAGGATAGAACTAAGCTCAACAATATCCCTTCTAACTTTCCACAGGTGTGTACTGTGGACTCTTTGCAATACAAAGGCAATAGAATCCTTTATTTTGCTCCTAGCAATCCCTTAAGGGTCTTTTGGTCGTAGGAAGAATAAGAAAACTACTATCTTTCTCAAAAATTCTCTATTTTAGCCGAAACCGGTTTGGCTCAGTGGTAGAGCATCGGTCTGCAGACTGAAAGGTCCCGGGTTCGATTCCGGTCAAGGGCATGTACATTGGTTGCGGGCACATTCCTGGTGGAGGGTGTGCAAGAGGCAGCTGGTCGATGTTTCTCTCTCATCGACGTTTCTGGCTCTCTATCTCTCACCCTTCCTCTCTGTGAAAAATCAATAAAAATATATATATATTTTATTGATTTTTCAAAGAGGGGAAGAGAGAGAGATAGAGAGCCAGAAATGTCAATGAGTATTTATATATATATTTTATTGATTTTTCACAGAGAGGAAGGGTGAGAGATAGAGAGCCAGAAACGTCGATGAGAGAGAAACATCGACCAGCTGCCTCTTGCACACCCTCCACCAGGAATGTGCCCGCAACCAATGTACATGCCCTTGACCGGAATCGAACCCGGGACCCTTCAGTCTGCAGGCCGATGCTTTATCCACTGAGCCAAACCGGTTTCGGTAATAAAATATATTTTTTTAAAAAAATTCTCTATTTTAAAATCTTACATTTTTCTCAAGCTATAATTTCCTAAATAATTCTGGGTTCCACTCTAATCCCCTGTCACCAGCCACACCCAAAACTCTTTTCATTTGACCTTTTTAGAACATAGATTGTATCTATTGAATAGTGAAAATCTGTGGTATAATTTAATTGACTTTTATCTCTAGGTAAATAATGGATGTTGATTAGAAATTGTGACATTAAAAACTTGATTGAGAAAATTGGGAGATTTTTTTTTTAGACCCAGCCAAATGAATTTGAGGAACAAAAATAAATAAAAGATATGCATGAAAATATAATTTGAGTTAAAAGATATTCATGCTGTTAGAGCTTATTGAAAAGTGTTTGCAACACATTGTAAAGATGGATTCACTTCTATTCTCTTTACTTTTATGTTCAAGAAGTCCCAAAAGAGGTAGGATAAAGAGAAGTAATGGCACCATGCTTCTTCACAGTTCGCGTGGGAAGCTCCATGCCTGTGCAGGGAGAGCTGGGTGGACAATCTGAGGTGTCAGGGAAACCAAGACTGTGGGTTTGAGTCCGTTGTGAGTCCTCAGTTTGGCTGTGGTCCATAGAGCCAGATTTATCCTTACCTCATCTTGCTAGTGTGAGTTTCCAGTCAAAAGTGAGTGGGAGGCATGGAGAACAGACTGACATACCTCAGACAGGAAGGTGGGGTGGGGGTGGGGTACGAGAAGAGATTAATCAAAGAACTCATATACATATATGCATAACCAATGGACACAGAAAACAGTGTGGTGAAAGCCTCAGTAGGACAGGGGTTGGGAGAAAGGGAAATTGGGGGACATCTGTAAATACTGTCAACAATAAGATAAAGTCAAAATATCTATAATAATAAAAGGTTAATATGCTAATTCGACTGAACATCATTCCAGAAGATGTCTTTTCGGAAGAAGCTGGGGCCAGATGAAAGCCCAGATCCTGGTTGCCAGAGGAAAGCTGGTGCTGGCAACCAGGGGAAGGAAGATATACGCTTGCACGGATTTTGTGCATCGGGCCTCTAGCGAATAAATAAATAGTTAAAAAAAAAATTTAAAAATCACTGGAGTTATTTAACCCAAACTCCTCATTATCGTTAGAGGGACAATGGCATAGGTGTGTTCTTCAGAAACTTTGTCCGGCAAACAAAAGCCAAATTACAATCACGTGCCTCTTAATGATGGAGGTAAGTTCTGAGAAATGCATCTTTAGGCGATTTCATCATTGTGCAAATATCATAAACTACCCTACACAAACCTAAGTGGTATAGCCTACTACCTCAATTATATGGTATAGCCTATTACTTCTGTGCTACAAACCTATGCAAAACAACATGAGATTAAATCAAGCAGAAGAGAAAATAATATAATTAAGAAAAATGGGATGTATGAGGCTGCTGCGATGTTACAGAACACACTGTTTTATTCCAAACTTCATTTTTTTTAAGTATAAAGAATAAAAGTTTAAAATAACAATAAAAATATCTATACTAATAAAAGGGTAATATGCTAATTAGACCAGGAGACCAGACATCTTCCTACCGTCTGACTTCTTTCTGGACAAAGCCACAGTGTTGGGGACCGAGGCAAAGGTGGTTAGGGGCAATCAGGCCAGCAGGGGAGAGCAGTTGGGGGCCATGAGGCCAGCAGGGGAGTGGTTAGGCAGTAATCAAGCTGGTAGGCAGACAAGTTGTTAGGAGCCAGCAGTCCTGAATTGCAAGAGGGATGCCCGACTGCTGGTTTAGGTACCATGCTAGATGGTGCCTAAACCAGCAGTTGGACATTTCCCAAGGGGTCCCAGATTAGAGAAATTGCAGAGGCTGAGCTGAGGGACCTCTTGCCCCATGCACAAATTTTGTGAACCTGACCTCTAGTAATATAATCAGTACATAAACCAGTACAAGCAGTTCTCTTCTGCTTGATTTAATCTCATGTTGTTTTGCATAGGTTTGTAGCACAGAAGTAATAGGCTATACCATATAACTGAGGTAGTAGGCTCTACCACTTAGGTTTAATACAATTATCAAGTATATTGTACATAACTGTGTGTGCTATACTTTTATATGACTGGCAGCACAGTAGGCTTGTTTACACCATCATCAATAAAACATGTGAGAAATTATTTTACAATGGCTACAATGTCCCTAGATATTGGGAATTTTTAGCTCCATTTATAATCTTATGGGACCAACATTGTGTATGCTGTCCATCATTGACCAAATGTTATTTATTATATGATGCATTTGAGTGTTTAATTGATGGACGATCTCAGGTTCAAAAAGAAAAGGAGCTGGAAGTCCACCCCCAACAATGATCTTTCAAGAATTCAGTTCCTTAGTTAGACCAGTGGAACAATCAATGGCTGCCTACAAATTTTAATATCTCTTGGTCCTCAGTCAGTTCTCTGCTATTGCTTGGTGGTCTAGGTCTCTCTCCCTTACCAATCTCAGTCCCCTGGAGGACTCCCACTGGCAATATATATATGATCTATCTATTCAACTGTTTCTTAACCACACTTTGTGAATGTGCCTGGAACTTGGTTTCACTCACTTTTCATGCTCTACTTTTTCTATCTTCTTCCTTCACTCTAGCTCTTCTTCTCAAAGGGAATATCATTATTCCATCTGCCTGCTGATCTTAATCTTACACCTCATAACTTTCATGAAATCCAGTCTCACTTCTACAATCCTCAGTGAACTCCTGCTACATAGAACTGTACCTTTTAGGGTTATTATTAATTAATTAACCTTGTGTATTCTAGTTGTTTCATCTCAGTTGGGCATCTGTCTCTAACTAGATTCTATACTTATTTCTCCTTCAGCAGAAAGAAGAGTGCTGAGCATCAATGGGTACTTACTAAATGTTTTTTGATGAATTGAATAAGGTGTTAAAGCTTGTTATAAGGGCCCTAAACTGTGATGAGCAAAGATGTGGACTCTGAGAGACTCAGAAAATTTTATTTGAAATCTCTTCCCCTTTCCCCAGCTTTTTAGTTATATGATCCTGCACTGATTTCTCTACGTTTCTGAGCTTTAATTTTCTAAAATACTATATGACTGGTACCATTCATTGACTACACAAAAACAATCTATATTTGCTATCGTTCCTCCTGATTTTGTCTAAATATTATTATGAGATTTCTTGATACTGAGAAAAGAGGACCTAGTTTCTGTTCTAGGGGATGACTTTATAATCTGGTATGGTTAATGATATGTGGATGAAGTCTGCTGGGGAATGTTTTGGGAAATTTTCCTTTCCTATAAGAGATATACATGCAAAGAGAATCTTTCCTTCTCTTCCTACCTGACCTTGAGCATGGTTGTCTGAGTTGTGATGTTGGAGATGCTACAGCCATATTGCAACAACAGAGGAAGGGGGAGGTATTTGAAGACATGCCAAACCAGAGCCCTGACATCAGAGAACTCCTAAGCCAAAATGGAAACCACCCACCCCCAGTTTTTGTTCTCATTACATGAGATAAGAAATAATAAGTTTGTATTGTCTAGGCATTGTTAGACACCTTAGATCCTCTATCATCTGCAGCCAAATTATTCTTAAATGACACAGACCTTTGTGAAGAATAGATGAGATAATGTCTATTAAGTAGTTAACATATTATCTTTCATACATTAAGTGCTCCCTAGTGTTATCTGGTATGACAGAGGGAAGGTTGTTGACCAGAGGTAGGAGTTGTCTTCCTGTATCCATTAGAGAAATTTTATGAGTTCAGCAGAAGAAAAAAATTCTTGCACAGCAAACAATTGGAGAAAGTTGTAAAAGACAATATTTGATTAGGAGCCCAAATAAGTGGCACCAATGGTGTGTGCCATAGTAAAGAGGGAAAAAGATTGAGAAATGTGTGTTAGGACCTCAAAAAGGGTTGAGATAGTGAAGTAAAATGAATATTGAAAGGAGAAGACCCTGAAATTATACAAGTGGGAAGGAAAGATCATTGAGTGGCTGTCTGAGGAGAACCAGCATTATAAGAGAGAGGAAAAGGAACAGATAATATCTTACAGGGGCACTGTGATTTCAGACTGAGTTGAGATCTAATCCAAAACCCACCTACTGCAATCTCTGGAGAAGGGAAGTAACTTATAAAAAGTAGTGTTTCAAGAAGAAAA